GTTCTATCTATCTATCTATCCATCCATCCATCCATCCATCCATTCTATCTATCTATCTATCTATCTATCTATCTATCTATCTATCTATCTATCTATCTATCTATCTATCTATCTATCTATCTATCTGTCTGTCTGTCTGTCTGTCTGTCTGTCTGTCTGTCTGTCTGTCTGTCTGTCTGTCTGTCTGTCTGTCTGTCTGTCTGTCTGTCTGTCTGTCTGTCTGTCTGTCTGTCTGTCTGTCTGTCTGTCTGTGTCTTTTCAAAACATAAGTTTCAAAAACATAATAGATGTGTCCTTAATACCCTTTGATATCCCAGAATTCTGTGTGTTACATTTCTGACATTTGAGCTAAACAAATAAAGATGCCATCTGAAATGTATTTGGATGTCATTGTTTGTGCCCAAATGACCAATTGTGCTTAAATAACCAATGTTTTCTACATTTGGTGGCAGTTATAGTGAGAATTTAGCATTGTAGTGAGCAAATGTTTCCCTAGTTATCATTAAAGTGCTATCTATTTTGTTGTACATGATTAAATGGTTACACAGTCTCTGACTATATGTTTACAAAAATGTAGCCAAAACTGAAAAGTTTTTCCATTGCGTTTTTAAAAAGTTACATGCACAGCAGTCTTTTTAAAATCATCCTCATTTACACATATTTACGAAGACAACCCAAAACACTGTACTGTATATGTATGCCAAGCCAGTATGTGGATCTTTAACTTTACCTTGCATATAAATTGTATCAGTAAGGAACTGATGATGTGCCCTCTGCATTTCTTTGCTGGTGTGTATTTAGAATTTGTGTGTATTTGATGCGTCTCTGCTGGTTGTTGTAATATTAGTGAAGTAAATCTACATTTTGCTGAAGAAGCAATTAGCAAACTCTTGACCAGCAATAATACTACCATTTACCTCGCCACTGTTGTGTATGTTTGGGGCTTGATCACACTTCTCATTAAAATTGACATGTACTGTGCATGTCTACCTGTACTATGAATGTGCTAGGCATAGCATGATAACCGTTTTTAAGGTATACCGTGGATTGGAAAAGTCCAGGTTTTAAAACCGCCAATACTTTCTTCTATACCGTTCCTACAGTATATATATAAGATTTTTATTTTTATTTTTTAAGCTTTTTGTTTGTTTGTTTGTTTGTTTGTTTGTTTTTTGGAAAACAATATCTCCAGAAAAAATATGTCCACATATGCTGTTTTAGTCTGACATGTTTACTGTTCCAACATAAAATATATTGTGTTCAAAGGGGAAAAAAGTATTATTTTTTACCAAGACATTTAAAAAGAACATACTTTAGAGCAGTAATCACAATACCACGAAACTGTGATATTTTTATCCAAGGTTATCCTACCGTCGGAATCTTGTACCGACCCATTTCTAAAATAAGCATGTTGTCACCCTTTTCAAAACCATTTTGGCTGTTTACATGGAAAGTAAGCATTACTGCATTTGTAAAAATGTCCACCTTGAAACCCGTTTCCATCCTCAAAACACCATTATAATGCAATTGAATAGGCAACACAAATAAAAAGTTCACATTTTTGGCTAAAAATGTTGTCAAGTAAAGGCCCCTCAGAAGTCTGTCTGACTCACTGTTTTTTGGATTAAAGACATTTTTCATTTTATTAAATTAGAGAAAATCAGACACACAATAAAAGGACCTGCTAGTGACGACTTCTTAAAAATGTGAAGTCCTCTTCTCGATTATTTAAGAAAGAAAAATCTTGCCTTACTTCCCACTTTAGGTGTAGTTTAATAATTGACAACATTTTGAATTGAATTGTATCTATCTACTTAAACCTGTGATTTTATTGTGCATATATGTTTGAAAAACCATGTTGTGTTTTTTTATTTTACATTTTTTTATTTGCTATTTTAAAATTCATTCAGGTGTTGCTGTATTTTGTATTGAAATTTTATCATTTAGTTTTTTTTTTTACCTGTAATTCTATTTGTGAATCATGCTGAGTTGGAACACAAGTTGGGGGAAAAAAAATGTCTGTCTGAAGTCAATTTTGAGGGGTGAACTAACACTGCATTCAGAGTCACTATGTTTTTGGGCAGCAAGGAAACAATCAGTTGCCAAACTTACGGACACATCCATGGATTCATTCATATACATTAGTATTTACATTAAAGTTCTATCTAATTAAAGTAAAATGGTTACATAAAAAAAACCTGATAGTTATAAATATTCACTGCGGACCATTGAGACAGCTGAAAGGGATAAGTAAAACCACCTTTATCTTGCTCATTTTACAATGCTGTATCAGTCTTTACACAGCCATACAAGAGTTGTTGAAACAACATCATCCACCAAAAAAAGTGATGCTAAATAAATGTTAGAATACTCCACATGCCAACAAATAACTAAACAAATGCATCAAACTGTGAGGAAAAGCAGAAAGTCCAGCAAGTATGAATAAATCTGTGGCGTAGTGGTCATGTTTTCTGATTTCTAAGGTAATTCGGTTTGACACAGTAATTAAATGAAGGAAGCAGCTCCCATTTCTGCCAGCCTCTCTGTATCCATCATCGTTTAAAGCCCACCATCCTCCACTGCACGCAAACACACGCTCAAGAGGAGATGAATAAGCTAAACGAATGCTATTATTCCAACGCAGAGAGAACAGGACCATTGATCAACGTTGATGGTTGGGTTTGTGTTGAGCCCACATTCTCTCATCGTAGCCAAATAATTGCATACCATTTTTTCATCTATTTACCGGGTGCCTTATTTGCATTCTCTTAAAAATGAAATCATTACAGGGATGTGTCGTTTCAAATATCTCTATAAACACTTCTATTCATTAGCAACATCAATTTATGAGGCTGAAGCGCAGTAAGTATTTGACCAAATTCCTTCCAAACTATGATTTATCTGTGGTTTTGCTCGTGTAGATGCTTATTCCAGCATCTGCTGGCATCTTCATTTGTCTGTGTAAAGGGTTACTAATGAAGAGCTGTATTTAGTTTCAGCTTGTTTAGATGTCTGAGCTTTAGCATTTCCTTCTATTAAAAGTATAAAAAGTACCCAATTAATTTAATTTTATTTTATTTAAATCTGTAAACTTTTGAGGGAAAAAAAAAATTATTTCTGAGTTTAAAAAGTTCAATGCGATATTACAAGAAACATATCTAAAGGAGCATCTGTGTATCAGCTGAATGTAAAAAAACACTGTTCTGAACATGCATAACATCCAGTTAAAATTTTGTTTATTTTAATTCAAGTAATGAAAATATCCACCACACCATTACACCACCATGCTTTAATGTTGTTGATACTAAATTCTGACCCTACCACTGGAATGTTGTAGCAGAAATGATGAGAGACTCAATAGACCCGACCCTGTTTTTCCAATCTTCTATTGTCCTATTTTGGTGAGCCTCTGTGAATTGTAGCCTCAGTTTCCTGTTCTTAGCTGACAGGAGTGGCACCCGATGTGGTCTTCTGCTGCTGTAGCCCAACTACCTCAAAGTTGGAAATGTTGTGCGTTTAGAGATGCTCTTCTGCATACCTTGATTGTTATGAGGATTGTAACAGAACTGGCACTCACTGGATATTTTCTCTTTTTCGGACTATTCCCTAGAGATGGTTGTGAATGAAAATCCCAGTAGACCAGCAGTTTCTGAAATACCCAGACCAGCCCTTCTGGCAACAACAAACATGCCACATTCAAAGTCACTTAAATCACCTTTCTTTCCCATTCTGATGCTCGGTTTGAACTGCAGTAGATCGTCTTGACCATGTCTACATGCCTAAATGCATTGAGTGGGTGCCCTATGATTGGCTGATTAAAAATTTGTGTTAACGAACAGTTTGACAAGTGTGCCTAATAAATTGGCCAGTGAGTGTTCTATCTCTCTATCTCTTAAATAACATTATGGATAAAAGTAACACATGTTAGGCCATATAGCAAAATATACAAATATGCTAACGGTACAGCAGTAAAAAAATAAATTAATTAATTAAAAAAAAAAAAAAAAAACATAAATATATAAACATGTATATTTTGTCTGTGCTCTCCATTTTTAACAGGAAAATTCGAGAGGAAGGGTTGCCAAATAGTGTAATTTTTTTTCTAATTCTGCAATCTGTAATCTTTTCTATTTGAATAGACTGCATCAGATCATGCATCCAATGCACATAACTGGGCGGAGAAGGACTTTTCCACTTCAGTGTTATATGCCTTTTAGCAATTATTAAACAGATAGCAGGTGCATTTGACTGTGAAGATGACAAGAAAACATTTGTAGGGTTACATCTAAATAATGCTACTAGGGTGCGTGGTTTGATATCTAAAAGAAAACATTCAGAAATTGATTTAAAAATGGATGCCCAAAAAGTGCTTAGTGCTAAAAAAAGCCAGAAAGTATGTCAGAAAGAGTGGCTGGAGCTTGTTGACACCCATCACAAGTTGGATCAAAACCAGGCTGACCTTCATATTTTAAACAAACATTTGGAAATCTATTGTATTTAATTAAATTTGTTTTCTGGAAAACACAAGTTCTCTAAGCTAAAAGGAAAAACAGAAAATAGCATGTTTCCTCTACTAGGTTTAGTAGATTCAGTCAGATTATTGTTTTAAAATGCCATCCACACATTTTTACTCTAATTCATTTCTGACTTCAATTCCTTACATTTAAATATACATACAAAAAGAAATAAAACTCTTCAAGTAGACTACTCCCACTGACATCATGAAGTAATGTGGACTATCAGTTCTGTTCAGATACCATGATATTTGCCGCCCTCAAGTGGTTGAGAAAGAGAATACAACCAATAAGAAGGTATTAGCGACGCAGCATTATACTGCAGAAGTACGGAATTAAACAATTATATAAGTGTTTGAACAAGTATTAAAACAAGTAGATTTACATTTATTATATGATTTAATATTTATTTTAGATTTATTTTAGGCACTACTATAAGAATTGTCAGGTATTATGTATGCAATATGTAGTCCGGCAAATTTTAAAACAAAACAAATTGATCTCAAGGACATTTTATTTGATGTCATAATTAGAACGTCAAAGTGGAATGTTAAGGCTTGACGGTGTAATTTAGTTTTAGTGGGTAGTTTGGAGTGAGACAGTGCGTTTGTTTCATCATGGGTCAGCGAATTTCTTGTCTGAATATAGCGACAGAGTCGGAGTGTGTGTACAGTTTACATCCTAGTACACCACTTCAGTTAAATAATGACACGCCTTGTCTTGAAAACCATCAGCTTGATGAGAGCCGTGTTGTTCCTTGTGAGGAAGATGGAGGGAGTGGGGTGACGGAGAAAAAGAAAGTGAAGAAAAAATTGAGTTTTTGGAGAAAGCTGTTCCGCTTTTCACGCCCAAGAACTGGAAGGGGTGAAAAGGTGGAGCAGGTGGACAGTGAGAAGGTGAAGCCAGTCACCGAAGCAGAACCTTCTACTGATGGTAAATCCCTTTATTTTTTCTGTGACTGAAAAAAAAATGAATAAAAATGATCCCCATAGCTTTAAAATATTGTCTCTGCAAATATATGTATTTGTAAAAGGATTGAAACGTTTATGTGTGTTTTTATTAAAGTAAATGTTGAATGTATGTTCCCCTCTTTAGATCAAACCTCAGTAGGAAACATCTCAAGCCCTGTTGAGCATCATGAATCCCAGCAAGCTCCTAACAGCCTTGAGGTTCCTTCCTCCATCACTGACCAGCAAATACAGGAACAGTGTGAGAATGTGGAGCTGGAGGAAGAAACGTCTACTGATGGTAAATCTCTTCATCTTTTGTGTTTACTGAACTTAATCATTAAAGAAGATCATCATAGCTTTAAATATTTGCAGAGTTCAAATGTTCAGATGTGCAGATGTTTGTGTATCTGAACTCTTCAGTTTTGTCTTTGTAAATACTATAAATGTATTATTTGTAGCAGTATTGAAATGTTTGTGTGTTTATATATAATTGTTATATTTTCCAGATCCAACTTCAGTGGAGACCATATCTTCTGTAGAGAGTTATGGTCCTCAGAACACTCCCAACAGTAGTTTTGAGATTCCTCTCTTCACTGTTGACGAGCAAATCCAGGAGTTTCCAGATGATCTGTCAGAGGAAGAAACTGTGTGTCCTCTGGCAGAAAACCCAAGCCAAGACATGGTCTTGATTATTGGGAGTAAGTTCATATTGATTATGGCTGCTTGATGCTTTCACTTTTTGAAAGGATTAGATGTTTCTGCATTATGTATTAGTGACGTAATGGTGTATAAAGTGGTAATAAAGTTTTACTTTTGCATTGTAGAATATGAATCTGTCTCTAAAACTAATTATATTTGAACAGGCATGTGCTGGACCTACAACATGGGTGAGCTACTGGGAGAAGGAGGATTTGGTGCCGTATATGCTGGTGTCCGTGCCCATGATGATCTTCCGGTAAATTTACATATATTTTTGCATGATTAACCTAACAAACTATATTTATGTGTTATGCTTTGTCTTTTGTAACACAATTAGAGCGCTTGATAAATGGTCAACTTGACCAAACAAGCTACAAATTCATGACTAGAATTTCAACAAGGATTATTAAATGGCCTGAAGTAATCCAGTGCTAACTGTTATATTCTGTTTTGTTGATCAGGTGGCAATCAAGTTTGCCAAAAAAATGGAGGGCATGGAATATCTCTACGTTGTAAGTAGACTCATCTCCTCTAACTCTGTTTTTTTTTTTCAACATTGTTGATCATAGACAGCAAACTATCTCTCAATAAACAAATTATAAACATGTTGTGCAAACCACCTTAATTTAACCCTCCTAAAAACTCTTTCCACTAGCCTGGCCTTCCAGAACTTGTACCACTTGAAATCGGCCTCACACTTATGGCAAACAAGGGTCCCAGCTTACCCAACATAATCGATCTGCTGGATTGGCAGGACTTTCCAGACCATTATATAATGGTCCTGCAGCGCCCTTCACCATGCCTGAGTGTGTTCAAGCTGTTGGAGAGCTGTGGCAACATCTTTGAAGAAAGGTTTGCTCGGTATGTGATGCGCCAGGTTATCGAGGCAGCTGAGACCTGCTGCCGGCGCGGAGTATTCCACAGAGATATAAAATTGGAGAACTTGATCATCAACACACACACCATGGATGTCACACTGATTGACTTCGGTTGTGGAAACCTGTTCCATGAAACAGAGTACCACACTTTTAGTGGTATGTACAGTATTAAAACTTTAGTGTCATGACACACAAGCTGCTGAATACAGTAAAAACAAACTGTTGTAACTCAGACATGCAAATCTCTTTCCTCCAGGCACAGAGATGTACTGCCCTCCAGAGTTTTTCGAAACGGGCAAATACTTTGCACGGCCAGCAACTGTGTATTCGCTTGGAGTGCTGCTATACACTATGGTGTGCGGATATATGCCAGACTACACGGATCGGGAAAAGATGCAGCACTGGCTCTGGTATCTGCCGTCCTTGTCCTGTGGTAAGAACTTGAAAAAATTGTAACAATCATACAAAAAAGTGTATTACAAAGCCACTTGGCTCAGCTGTCCAAAATGCCATCAGGAGATGTAAAGGATGTTTAAAGTAATGGTCAAACATTAATCCTGTCTTTCAGAATGCAGTCATCTCATAAATGCCTGTCTGCATCCCGATCCCAGCAAGAGGATACAACTGGAGCAGATCCTCCTCCACGACTGGTTTACGGTACCTATGATCTATAAAACTTTTCAAAATGTCAGTTTTTTGGGGACAATAAACCTGATTGTGTTTTTGTTTTTGCTTTAGATCTCACCATCAGACATGGAGGATGAGCGCCCGGTCCTGGTCATGCAGGAAGAGCTGATTAGCCAGGCATGCTAACACCAGTGGCCTCACCACCTCTCCAGTCCTTTGCTTCTTGCTAATGTCTGGTGTCAGAGCTTGAGGCAGCAATACTTGCGTCTTGCGGTGTTGCTGCCAAAAATGTATTGTTGAATTGAAATAAAATTGTGTCAATTGAACTGTTGTGTTTGTCATGTTTTTGTCCATTTATTTGCTGAATTAGAATTGGAGTTTGCATTAAGCCTAGTAAGACCATGATTAACTAGTACAGGTGTATTTTATTATGAAAGAAGCTAAAAAAAGAATATTGTGGTCCTCCAGGAGCTGGATTGGACATAGTAAGTAGTAAGGAATGTGTATTTATATTGCACATTTATTGTGTATGACCATACACCCAAAAAGCTTCACAATCATAAGGGGGGTCTCTCCTCACCACCACCAGTGTGCAGCATACATTTGGATGATGCGATGGCAGGCACAGGACAACGGTGCCAGCTATTGATGGAGTGGAGAGACAGTGATAGAGCTAATTCGGTAGATGCGGATGATTGGGAGGCCGTGATAGGTAAGGGCCGATGCAGGGAATTTGGCCAGGACACAGTGGTTACACCCCTACTCTTTACAAGAAGTGTCATGGGATTTTTAATAACCACTTAGAGTCAAGACCTCGGTTTAACGTTTCATCCTAAAGACCCTTTCTCTATACTGGGGCATTAGAACGCACACACTGCTGGCCTCACTAACACCATTTCCAACAGGAACCTAGTTTTCCCATGTGGTCTCCCATCCAGGTTCTGACCAGGCTCAGCCCTGCTTAGCTTCAGTAAGTAACTGCTCTTGGGCTGCAGGGTGATAAGGCTGTGAATTTTCTGAACTATGAATATTTACAAGTGAGAAACTCTGCATTCTACACCAGCGGTTCTGTTGGTATACATTGCAAATCGTCTGTGTGTTTCCTCAGTAAGCAGGAGCTCCAGGAAGACAACAAAAACAGCGATGTGAATCCAACAGTTTATTGCTCTCTTCTGTAGAAGACTGGGGCATTCCCAGCTTTTATACATCATACTCAAGGTTACATGGGCTCTGAATATGTGCAAATATTTAGCTCAGTTAAGCATAACAATTTCATCCAGTGCTCAAAAATGTCAAGGCGCAACGTCAAGGTGCCTAGTACAGGGAAAACTTAAAACAAGATAAGAAACATTTAGAAAACAACAGAATATTTGAAGAGTGAGTACATGCATAATTCTTTCATTCCCCTCTTCCAGGCTCTGTTTTTTACAAGAGCCTGGATCATACCATATTCTAAAAACATCTCAGAAGACATGGACCAAAAATACATACACATAAGAAAATAATAAGTACCGGTACTACCATTGAGACAAATGGAGCCAATGATCCAAACAGGCTTTCTAAAAATCCCCATCCCCAATTATTATTTCTTTCCTTCATCTCATCCTCATAAACCTGTGATGATATCCTTTTCATCTTCTTTACAGCTGGTCCAGTAATGGCATCCGTGGTACTGTTAATAAAAGAGGCCAGTCTATAATGCATAATCTCTTGCTGTTTTAAGGCATCTGCCACGCCAAAACTGGGAATCATAGCCTCCCAGAATCTAGTCCACTGTAATCTCATATGGTGTTCGTCGGGTACGTTGTCCTGGGGAACTGACCTTCGTTCCCTTCCGGATTGTCTGGCAAGATGCATGACTATGACCATGTGTTGTAATTGGATCACAGTACAAAGACCAGTCCAATTGGTGGGGTAAGTGTTGAAGATGGTTTCTCCCCCACAATACCAGTACCAGTCATCGGCCAGGACCGCATCCTGTCTCGGCAAAGTGGGGACACAAGTTACATTGCTGTGTTGACAGTATGTGTTGTTCAGGCCGTAACATGCCGTGACAGCTGTATCAGTTGTGACATTAGCACATTTAAGTTTGTTCAGTTCACAGGTGCCTGGGATGTAACGGGGACAAATACTTAGCAGAGAACTATATTTTTTATTCTTTCGCCACGGTAAATATACCCCCGAAAATCGATCCCTTTCGCCAATTACTATATTACAATCTTTAGCTCTTAAGGTGGATACATTACCACCATTTGTCCCATTAAAGTAAAAAGAAAAAGTGAACCCCTGGGGTTTCGTCAACAAAATATTCAAACCCATAGTTCTAGGTGTAGGTATTACAACAGTATGATTCTTTCTGCTAATTGATCTGCAAAGGGGCTTCCATGTTTTTTTGTTGGAAACACATGTGGGGCGCCACTCATAAATATCTCCCAAAGCATTTGTACAAAAAGCAAGTTTAGTACATGTAAAAGGCAAAGGTTTCAAGGATATAGTCACAGCAGCACAGCAGAGGAGAACACTTCTTGGCAGACAACACATGACTCAATGGTTGTCTGTCATGCAGTCCAGTTGGCATACTGCCAGAATAAGTTTTGTACTTCAGTGTGGGCCTGTGTCAATCCCAATAGGGTTACCAGTAGAAGTAGTCTGCAAAACAAAAACGATTAATATCATATCATAGACATTTACCTTAATGGTTTCACTCTGGTGCCATGGATCCACTGTGGAAAAAGATCAGTTAATACAGCAGTGCGTGTAACAGCCAGAACCTCAGCTGGCCCTTCGTATTTGGGTTTTAAATCTTTCTGGGGTTTTAAATCTTTTATTAGCACCTTGTCCCCTATCTGGAAAGGGTGTGCTGCCTCAATTGGAATTTCAGGGTGTTTCTTTGTTACCCTTTCCCAATACTGATTGAGTTTCTGAATTAGGGTCGCTAAGAATTCTGACACGTGGTTAGAAAGCTCAATACCCACTCCCATAATTCCCCCTTGCCATGGGATAGGGAGAGGTCTTCCCATGACCACCTCATATGGTGATAAAGATTTTTGCTTGTGTTGTCATTCTCAAATCTGCTAGTACTTTCTGTAAAATTTTTACCCAATCTTTATGACCGTGTTGTCTTAAGGCCTTCTTTATCTTTCCTTTCAATGTTCTGTTAGTTTGCTCCACAAATCCAGATGATTGTGGATGATAGGGTATGTGGAAACGCCAATTTAAATTTAATTCAGTTGCCAATTGTTGTGTCACCTTTGATGTAAAAGGTGTTCCTTTTTCTGAATCGATGCTTTGTGTGATCCCATATCTAGGTATAATTTTAGAGATCAATTTCTGTGTTACCACTTGTGCATTTTCCCTTGAGCAGGGAAAAGCTTCTACCCATTTTGAAAATTTATCCACGCAAACCAGTAGATACTTAAACTGTCCCCTCCTGGGCATATGCGTGAAATCTACTTGCCATTCAGAAAAAGGTGTGATTGGTCTTGGTAAATGTTGGTGCTGTGCCACAGGCTTTGATACATTATATTGGGCGCATATAAGACATTTGTCGAGTATGTTATTAATGGTGGTTTTTAGTTTTGGGACACAAAACAAAGATCGCATCGTTTTGTGTACCCCTCTTCGTCCACGATGAGTGACACTATGAAATTCGTGGACGAGAAATGACAGTGCCACATGTGGGACACATAGGCGACCCATGTTGTCATGCCATAGACCCATCTTTTCATCAAATGTGGAAGAAAAGGCATCCCAGAAGGACTTATTCTCGTCAGTGGCTGATGCTTGTAACATAGCCAAATCAATGTCAGGGAGCATCCCTGAAGCCGAGGTTGTAGAGAACAAGGAAAGGTGCATAGAGTCCTCAGGCAAAGGCTATTGTGCTGCTGATTTAGCATGCCGGTCAGCCAGAGCGTTTCCTTTGGCTTCATCAGTGTGTTCCTTCAAATGGCCTTGAATTTTAACAATGGCGAGTTGCGAGGGAAGATGGCAGGCCGTTATTAAATCAGTTATGAAGGTATGGCTGCGCAACCCCCATTTGTAGGAGGGCTACATTCTGAATTTGATCGAACAGATCATCGCCAGTCATCGTTCGAATCCTCTGCTTGAGCTGTGCTGGAGCCATTTGAGATCGATTAGATAATTGAAATTTAAGTATCTTAAAAGTGGAAATAAACAGTGGTTGTGGCTGCCTTTCAGGGAGATCAAATCCTCCCAGATGTATCCAGACGTTGGAAAAACGCTGGAGGAAGGCAGAAACTGTCTCTTTCTTTTCCTGCTTACAGCTGGTCACGTGTGACAAGTCTTTACTTTGGCATGTCCCCCTTTCTTTGAGACCCATAGGAAAGCTTGATTATCCCCTTGGTCTGGTTTCTCTGTGCGAAACGACTCTAATTCTTGTACAGGATACAGAGGTATCCTCTGCTGCGCCTTTCCTTGCCCCTCATAAGGAGGGAGGGAGGAGAGGGTACACTGTAAAAAATGATTTGTTGTTTTGACTTAAAAAAGTGAGTTACCCGGTTGCCTTAAAATTGTGAGTTCATTGTAATTATAAATGTGAGTTATAATAACTTGAGTGATTTTGTTGTTTCAACTAATTTTTGTGTACAACTAACTATTTTGTGTTGTATCAACTTCTTCAAGCAGTTTAAGTTGACTTACAAATGTAAGTACACTCAACTTCAGTGTAAAATTGTTGAGTGAACTAACTTTTTTTAAACAACTTAATCCATTTGATTGCTTAAAGAAGTTGATACAACCTCATTCCAAGTTATATCAACAAACGATTTGTCAACTCAACTAAAAATTGTTTGTTGAAACAAAAACCTGAAAAAGTTACCTGGTTGCCTTAAAATTATGAGTTAAATCAACTAAATAAACTTTGTTGTAACAACTAACTAAGACATTTGCACAATTGACTTACAATTATGAGTTAAATGAACTAAATTAAGCTTGTTGTAACAATTAACAAAGTTTACACAGTTGATTTACAATTAAGTGTTCAATGAATTCAACACAAGTTAACATGACAAATGCATTTTAAAAGAAACAGAACGTCAGCACAAATAAACTGTAATAACATTTATTATAACTTCAAGAAAACATTTTCATTCAAGTAGATGTAAAGTTATCAATTCAATAAATTCATATTAAAACTCTTTGAAGCAACAGGATACGATCTGTTAATTTAAACACATCTGAAAAAAAATCATGCCAAAAGTCATAAATCAATTAGTTATAAATAATTTCTCAAACAGCATTAAAATTAGGCCTTTGAAATGTTTCTTCATCTATTCAACATTTTAAAGGCTTCAAACTATTCATAACATTTTATAATGAAAAGTGTGTTTACAACTGATTTTGTTCTCCCATACTGAAACTGATATTCTGCTCTGTAAAAGTTCACAGAGTAAGGCCGTACTCACACTAGGTACAGTTGCCTCGAACCGGGCCAAAGCACGCTTGTCCCCCCTCCCGTCTCCCCCGACGGCCCGCACTCACACCATATCGGGCCTCGGCACGCTTACGTCATCGCTGCTGCGCTGTTCTGTGAGAAGCACTCTCTATGGCAAGCCTTTTTAGCATTTAAATCTTTGTTCTGACTCCATAAATATATTTAGAGATATCTCTAATTATATTTTGACTAGTCATAATTATAATTCCACTACTCAGAATGACAATTAGAGATATCTGCAAATATATTATGACTAGTCATATTTCTCCATTGACTTCCATTGAAAAATATTTGCAGATATCTCTAAATGAGTTTTGATTAGTCACAATTGTAATTAGAGATATCTCTAACTGAGTTTTTACTAGTCATAATACATTTGGAGATATCTTTAATTTGTCATATTTGGAGATATTTACAAATATATTTGAAGATATCTCTAATTAATGTACTAATAGTCGAATTACAGTTTTAGATATCTTGAATTGGATTTTTGACTAGTCAAAATTCATTTGGAGATATCTCTAATTACAATTGTGACTAGTCAAAACTTATTTAGAGATATCTGCAAATATTTTTCAATTGAAGTCAATGGAGGAATATGACTAGTCAGTCATAATATATTTGCAGATATCTCCAATCTGACCAGTCGAATTATAATTATGACTAGTCAAAACATAATTAGAGATATATCTAAATATATTTATGGATAGTCAGAACAAGGTTTAAATGCTAAAACGGCTTGCCATATGCTCTCACCAGTAGCACAGTGGAGATTTCTCTAGTTATATCCTTTCAGTCGTTTGTTATGCAGTGACATGCAGTCAAATATTTCGCCAAACAGTCCTTAGGGATGCGATAACACGCAGTCAGATATTTCGCCGAACAGATCCGCCACTTTTGGCGCTCATAAACAATCATAAAGCTCTCATGCTGCAGGAATGAGGAGGTCTGCTGAAGCCGCGCAGCTGATGTGCAGTGAGGGGTTTGCGTCTTTAATAAACTACGGCAGATCACTTTGCGTTCAGTGATTTGCGATCACTGAACAGTAAGAATGATTAATAAATCCATATGAAACAACCCCTTAAAAGTCACGTCTCGCTTTCAGTTTCGGGCTTTGGCGCGTTTTGCACTCACACACAAGCGTACAGCGCAAGTGAACCGCTCTCAGGCACACCTCTTCCAACCGGGCCAGGGCCGGCAAAGTGAACCGTGCTTGAGCCCGATTCAGCGCACTCACACTTCTCAAACGATCCGGGAAACGGGCCTGGGCACAGTAGGGATGGCATAGTGTGAGTAGGCCCTAAGAAACAAACTCTTAAGTTTTTAGTGGATTTTTGCTCACCCATGCACTTACTGATATCCATGTTGTTTATTCAACTTTAAGGACTAAATCTCAATTCAGTGTAATGAGTTGCTTACTCTTAATGAAAAGGAGAAAATGTGTTTGATGATAAGCAACTTTAATGTAAGTGGTGATTCTTGTTCTCGCATTGCACTTCATGTTACAAGATTCAAATCACTGTCATCGAGTAAGATATAAAACAAGTCTGCTAGATTTGCAGTTTAACACAACCTGAGTTTGTATAGAATGTCTGTAACAGAATGTTTATCTGAATATGTTGCAGAACAGTTGTAAACACACTTTTCATTATAACATGTTATGAATTGTTGTAGGCCTTTAAAATGTTGAATAGAGGAAGAAACATTTCAAAAGGTTCATTTTAATGCTGTTTGAGAAATGCATTTTAGTGTTTCTTGAGATTTCTGACTTGTTGAATTTTTGTTAAACTGCAATTGTAGCAGACAGAGTTGATATAGTGTGTTACATAATGTCTGTAACAGAATGTCTGCTGTGGTGTAATATGAAGTGTAATGTGAGAATCATAAAAAAATCACTTACAATAAAGTTGCTTATCCAACAAATGTTTCCCTTTTCATTAAGGGTAAGCAACTCGATACATTTGATTGAGATTTAGTCCTTAAAGTTAAATGAACAACATGATTATCAGTAAGTTTGAGCATGGGTGAGCAAAATCCACAAAACACTTAAGAGTTTGATTCTTACTCTATATACTTTTGCAGAGCATGCTTCACCACCAATTCTCAGGATCTTTTAGGGGGATGTCAAATGTATATTTACTTCCTTGAGATAAGTGATATTCAGGGCAAGAAGAATCCCTATTAGCACAGCAAAGACATCTGACATCCCTCAGGCCACCGTACAACCTCTTCCTCTCACACCACAGCCACATGCATTATTTCTCTTGGAAAAAGTTTTGAGGTGTTCTCCTCTATGGCTATCAATAGTTCAACATGTATTCCTTTCACTGCCTCTTCTGCCTTATTCAGAATAGCAGCAACTTCGTAGATGCCTGTTGCTTTGGTTGGCGACCTGCTTCAAACGCAGGTCTGAGTAGGTCTACACAGCATGAATACAATTAGCCTCTGAGCGAGATGAGAGAGGATCATGTGAGCTCTACTGGTGCTCCTATTGGCTGTTGCTTAAGAAAGTTGAAGCATTCTCAACGTTATCATGACGCTCGACACGCCCACCTTGTCGTCAACGGTTGCTGTCGCTCGCGTAGAAGGAGGTCGCCAGAAGTACCTTGCTCTCCGTTGAAATGAATGGTTGCTTGTCGCGTTGCCGCTGTGAGTTGCTTGTAGTGTGAATGAGGCTTTCCTTATCAGTTGTCTAACAAAAACAAAAAACAAATATGAATTAGAAAAAAATATAGATGTGTATATATATATATATATATATATATATATATATATATATATATATATATATATATATAATCACACAATTTACACAGCATCTCAGTTAAAAAAATGAATCAATTTTAAGCAAAGGTGTGCCCACATCAGAAAGCATGTATGTGAATAACTCAGTTGCAAATAGATTTTCAAGTGACAATTTACCTCAAAAAGAAGCTTGTCATTTACTCATCCTCCATATGTTCCAAACCAGTTTCCTTTCTCTGTTGAACACAAAGCTAGGTAGATGAAGAAAACAGCCACTGACTTCCATGTGTATGTTTGTTCCTACTATAGAAGTCAATGGCTGTTTATTTTCCAACATTCTTTAGAATATCTTTTTTTTAACAGAAAAAATACATTTATAGAAGTTTAGAACTACTGGAGTGTAAATAAATAAGAATATAAATGTTTAGGTTAACTATCCCTTTAATGTTTAATTACTTCTTTCAATTGAGGACATAACATTTTAAAATAGTATAAAATTATTTCAGTTATTTTAAAGAACTTTACAGACTAGACACCCTCTCCTTGGGAAAACAAAAACATTAAAATAATGAGACAGTATCAAAGAAAGCCAGCAGAAAATCTTTTTAAAAGAACAAGAATTAAACCAAATTTATGTATTTAATATATTTACATACCTCACAAGTTTTGATGAACTTGGTGTCCACTTTCATGCAATAAGGAAGGCCAAACAGGACAACAGTTCTTTTACATTGTTTTGAGCTCTGCAAGGAAATGCATGGTTTAAAATCTGTGATCTAGTGGTCACAAGCTTCTTTTACACTGTCAAGCCAATTAAAACCAAATTTAGAAGCAGACAGTTTTGCAAAGGCAAACTAAAATCTGCCGGTTACATGTAAAAATGTTTGGTCTTGAAGAGCATATTGTAGGTTAAACACCCAGTGAGTCAATGTGCGTAAGAGTAAAGTAGGAACTTAATTATTTTTTTTAAATTAACATTAAAGTTTATTATTAAGCCACCTGGAGTCGTTTTTTGTCAAAAAAAAAAAGTTCTTCGGCATCTGAAAAATTGCCAGACTACACCGGAAGTGATGTCGGACCAGGGAGATCAGTACGAACAGTACGAAGACAACTAATCGTGGTGCGCTTGTTTGAATGCAGAGATAAGATATTCTGAGATATTCACACAAACGACAGACCACAGTCATACAATTATGAGCCTGTGGACAGAACAGCAGTCAGAGAAATGTAATTTGACTCTATTGTGAGGAGAACAGAGCAGGATCTCAGTGTGAGACCAGTGTTGGCTTACAGACATATGTAAGATAATGAAAACTTATTTGGCAATAGCAAAGCTAGTATTGATCATCTATAAGTATTAATACTTACCAGTAACAAAACCTAATGAGCATTTAACAGAGTTATGCCACATTGACCCTATTGTTTTATTGTAGATAAGTGTATACAAATCCCTAAAAAACACAGAATGTCTGGAATAATGCAGAAACATGTAAACTAAGTTCTTGAAAATCTTTTTATTATACAAAATGAATTTTGTATTAAATTGAAAACAACATCAAATATTAAAACAATTAAAATAAGTTTTAAAATATATCTCTATTTTGTCAGGTTTTTTTTTTTTGCCATGGGCATAAGATGATCTGTATCAGATCCCATTTAGGCAACAGTCCATAAAGAATACAATCACAAGTTGTGTTACTGTATGAAATATTCACAAAGACCTGATCTACAATTATGGTTAAATAAACTTCAACCCTAAATCAAGTTCAAATTCTAATTCAACTCAATTTCAGGTTTTATTTATATAGCACAAAATCATAAGCAGTGTTAATACCAGCATTTTTGCTCTTTATATATGTATAAGTATCTGTGTGAGTGTGTGTATACTGAAAGAAAAATATTTAATCTAAACCTTATTAAAATAATCTTTCAGTAAGAGGGCCAACATTTATGTGGTTGCCACACTATCATGTCTTTAATGTGTGCTAAATTGTGAATGCTGTGTAAAAAGATACCGACAGCCTCATTTTTGTAAACCAGCTGGAAGGATCTAGAAAGGAGAGAAAATGTAGTGGACAGTTCTGCATCTCGTCGAGCCTTTGATGACCTCCAGTATTCCACCGTCAGAGACGCCATAAGGGCTGATGCATATATGCTGCGGAAATAATGCAAAAGTTTAAATCATCTTCATCAATCATGTATATTTAAAAATTTACCATATGATTTTAATATAACATAATACATAATACTTAGCCACATTTGCAGACCCCTGGATAGTGAACTGCATACCACCTCACAAATATAGATTGTACCCATTATAAGTTCAGCATGTTAGAACAAACTTAAATTTTTCAAATGTTACTTGTTTTGTTTTTTCTCAGGTGGTTTCAAACCTTTTTGACTTACTTGCCTCTTCCCAATTGTTTTGTACAGATCGGCTCGGTTCGCCGAAAGGTGACAAGTTTGCTCCCATTTATAAGTTAGTGGGTGTTGAGGATGAGAGCACCCTCTCGTGTGACGGCGTTAAGTTGTGTGGTGTTGTTTAACGGCAGGTTGTGCAACGATCAACAAGACTAAAATAACATGTAAAAATTATTTTTACATTTATTTTCAAGAACATCGGATGCTTCACAGGCTTATTAAATGGTGTATGTAACGTTCAGTTTCAAAATGTTATAAGTTAAAATAGCCTCAAAGGAACAGGTGACAGAGGCTATTAATGGCTTTTTTCATCCACAATTTGAGGCAAAATTATAATAAAGTTTTTGTTTTTTGACAACTGCTAACTTCTTTGGCAATACTTCAAATTACTCTTAGACAACTCAGACCATAAAAACATTGATTTTAAAAGAACTTATCATAAAACTTGCTCACCGCTGAAGGGGAGAAAATAGCTCCTTGCCTTCTCGTGGTTCAAATGCCTTGTTGACTCCGGAGAGTTGTGCGCATGCGAACGACGGCGAGTAACCACCATGCTATTGTTTTAAGTAACTTAACTAAAAATCTTTTGTTATCTCAACAAAAGGGTGTCTCCTTTCTTTTTACCTCAATCTTTGATGCTGAGCCTTTAAGAGCCTTCGGAATTAATTTCTTTACCTCTTTTGGTAGGTTAATATTTTGTTTGTCATTCCACACACTCATCATCTTCATCCAGATTTCATAACCCTTTCTCATATAATCATAGACCCATTCGGGATCTCCTTCACTTTCATAAATTAATTTGTGAGCCCGTTTTAGCACATTGGGGTCGAATGACCCATCTCTAGGTTAGGGACGCATCGCTTGTGCCTCAGTCCACCCTGCTAGATTATCTAACCAGGGATTAGTGTAATATCCCCACCCACATCGAGACATCCAATCTTTAGGGCTTTCCCCTATCTCAGGCTTGGGGTATGAACCACCCATGTTAGTAAATACTTACTAGAAAACACACAGAATGATCGTTCTACTTTTGTATAGCGCGCTCGTCTTGGCTTGTCAGGGAAAATCCCAGCCAAGGATTACTCTTTAGTAATGAAGCTTATCAGGCAGTCAAAACCAAATTCATGTCTTACCTGATCAGCTTCATCACGTCGAGGGTCACCAGGTTGTTGGGATGAATTGCAGATCATCTGTGTGTTTCCTCAGTAAGCAGGAGCTCCAGGAAGGCAACAAAAACAGCGATGTGAATCCAACAGTTTATTGCTCTCTTCTGAAGAAGACTGGGGCATTCCCAGCCTTTATACATCATACTCAAGGTTACATGGGCTGTGAATATGTGCAAATATTCAGCTCAGTTAAGCAGAACAATTTCATCCAGTGCTCAAAAATGTCAAGGCGCAACGTCAAGGCGCCTAGTACAGGGACAACTTACAACAAGATAAGAAACAGTTAGAAAACAACAGAATATTTGAAGAGTGAGTACATGCATATTTCTTTCAGGTTCCCAACAGGGGGTCCCAGCCCACTAGGGGGTCTCAGCAAGCTCTGTAGGGGGTTACGTCATATTTAAAAATAATAATAATAATTAGCTGTGGACAAATAAGAGAATGATCAATTTGCATTAGTTGATTTTATTTTCTGGCTGACCAAAAATTGACAAATTTGTAATTCATCTTCCACAAAAAAAAAAATTAAAAAATAAGTACTCTGATTCAACTTTAGCAGCTGATAGTAATAACGCAAGAATCCTGGACCCAGGTGAGGAAGCTCCAAACATTTCAGGTCACAGCACTAGCAATACTGGAAACACGAAATGCAGGAAATACCAAGATATTTACCTGAACTATGTTTTTTTTTTTATCTTTTCTTGAACCAAAATGTCCCTGACCCAGCCACAGTGCAATATCTGTGACAAAGTTCTTGTTAACAAATGCATGAGGCTGTCCAAATTAAAAAGACATTTGCATATGACTCCCCAATACCTCAAGCGTACCCAATACAAATGGCTTACTGATGTTTTCAGAATCAGTTTTATTGCTTTGTGCAACAGTTTTGTGCTTCACACACACTAGGAATTTGTTTTGGCTACAGAAGCTTCCAGTGTACATAAAGTGACAAGTGACAACACAAAATAAATATGGAAAAAAGAAAGACCATAAACATCAAACAGAGATGCAGTTAGTCAAGAAATCTGGATGTTGAATTGTATGTACAGGTTTGTTATAAATACACAGGTTATATGGTGATGTGTACAAATGCAAATGGAGAAAGTATTGCATTGTATATTGATATAAGGTTCTGTGAACAAGTGCGTATGAGAAAGTATTGCACATTTATTGCACTGTTGGGGAATATTTAACTGTTCATGAGTTAGATAGGCTAAGGAAAGCAAATTTTCCTGTGTCTGGCGATTTTTGTGCTTGGTGCTCTGAAGCGCCGACCAGACGGCAACAGTTCAAATAGGTAGTGTGCTGGGTGTGAGGCATGCAGAGTGATTTTGTGAGCCCTTTTACTCACTCTGGAAGAGTAGGAAGGGTAGTGTCAGTGATACATTCAGCAGTCCGGACTATTCGCTGTAGTCTACAGAGGTCGGTTTTGGCAGCGGAACTGAACCAGGCGGTGATTGAAGTGCAGAGGATGGATTGAATGACAGCTGAGTAGAACTGTACGTGCAGCTCCTGAGTCCTGTGGAAGGTTGAACTTCCTCAGCTGACGAAGGAAGTACAGTCTCTGCTCGGCTTTCTTCACAATAGAGTCTATGTGAATGTCCCACTTCAGATCCTGAGAGATGGTGGTGCCCAGGAACCTGAATTTTGCATTTATCTTTTACAAATCTAGATAAACTAATAAACAAATTGTTTGTTTGAAAAAAAAATGTTGTCATACCTACTGCAAACATATATGAGCTATAATATTAATAAATGTGGAGGGGGGTTACAATAATGTCCAGGGGAAAAGGGGGTCTCAAGCAAAAAAAGGTTGGGAACTACTGTTTCATGATGCCCTGGTTGCTGACTTGTGTCACTGAAAGAGACATGTCAGTCTTTAAAATGATGGAAGCATTGATCTATAGATAATTCAATATCTGCATCAACACATCAACAACAAAAAAACATGTTTGGAAGTTTTAGTAGAATAATAAAAATAATTTAAAAATAAAAAGGAATGTGGTTGAGAATCAGCTGATTAAGCCATAGGGATGAGCCCTTCTAAAAAAAACATAGTGACAATCTTTCAAGCCAAGATACTGATTTTATTTCCTTCAGACAACACAGGAAAGTAGTGAGCTTGAGTATTCTTGTATGTGATAGAGCCGTGAAGTCTCTCATAAAATAAAACATTTGTTATATTATTATATTATTTTAGCCTAACTTTGTTTTATTGATGCTTATTAGTCAGAGAATTACATTATTAAATACAAAGAATCACAAGACATCAACTGATAAAATTAAGATAAATTAAATAACATTATGGATAAAAGTAACACATGTAAGGCCATATAGCAAAATATACAAATATGCTAACGGTACAGCAGTAAAAAAAATTAATTAATTAATTTAAAAATAATTTTTAAAAGAAGGAAGAAAGAAAATAAAAAAATATATAAACATGTAATTATTTTTCTAATACTGCAATCTGTAATCTTTTCTATTTGAATAGACTGCATCAGATCATGCATCCAATGCACATAACTGGGCGGAGAAGGATTTTTCCACTTCAGTGTTAAATGCCTTTTAGCAATTATTAAACAGATAGCAGGTGCATTTGACTGTGAAGATGACAAGAAAACATTTGTAGGGTTACATCTAAATAATGCTACTAGGGTGCGTGGTTTAATATCTAAAAGAAAACATTTAGAAATTGATTTAAAAATTGATGCCCAAAAAGTGCTTAGTGCTGAAAAAAGCCAGAAAGTATGTCAGAAAGAGTGGCTGGAGCTTGTTGTCACCCATCACAAGTTGGATCCAGTTGAAACCAGGCTGACTTTCATATTTTAAACAAACATTTGGAAATCTATTGCATTTAATTAAATTTTTTTCTGGAAAACACAAGTTCTCTAAGCTAAAAGGAAAAACAGAAAATAGCATGTTTCCACTACTATGTTTAGTAGATTCAGTCAGATTATTATGTTTTTAAATCCCATCCACACATCTTTACTCTAATTCATTTCTGACTTCAATTCCTTACATTTTAATATACATACAAAAAGAAATAAAACTCTTTAAGTAGACTACTCCCACTGAGATCATGAAGTAATGTGGACTATCAGTTCTGTTCAGATACCATGATATTTGCCGCCCTCAAGTGGTTGAGAAAGAGAATACAACCAATAAGAAAGTATTAGCGACGCAGCATTATACTGCAGAAGTACGCAATTAAACATTTATATAAGTGTTTGAACAAGTATTAAAACAAGTAGAATTACATTTATATTATGATTTAATATTTATTTTAGATTTATTTTAGGCATTACTATAAGAATTGTCAGGTATTATGTATACAATATGTAGTCCAGCAAATTTTAAAACAAAACAAATTGATCTCAAGGACATTTTATTTGATGTCATAATTAGAACGTCAAAGTGGAATGTTAAGGCTTGACGGTGTAATTTAGTTTTAGTGGGTAGTTTGGAGTGAGACAGTGCGTTTGTTTTATCATGGGTCAGCGAATTTCTTGTCTGAATATAGCGACAGAGTCAGAGTGTGTGTACAGTTTACATCCTAGTACACCACTTCAGTTAAATAATGACACGCCTCGTCAAGAAAACCATCAGCTTGATGAGAGCTGTGTTGTTGCTTGTGAGGAAGATGGAGTAGGGAGTTTGGTAAAGGAGAAAAAGAAAGTGAAGAAAAAATCGAGTTTTTGGAGAAAGCTGTTCCGCTTTTCACGCCCAAGAACTGGAAGGGGTGAAAAGGTGAAGCAGGTGGACAGTGAGAAGGTGAAGCCAGTCACCGAAGCAGAACCTTCTACTGATGGTAAATCCCTTTATTTTTTCTGTGACTGGAAAAAAATGAATAAAAATGATCACCATAGCTTTAAAATATTGTCTCTGCAAATATATGTATTTGTAAAAGGATTGAAACGTGTGTTTTTATTAAAGTAAATGTTGAATGGATGTTCCCCTCTTTAGATCAAACCTCAGTAGGAAACATCTCAAGAACTGTTGAGCATCATGACTCCCAGCAAGCTCCTAACAGCCTTGAGGTTCCTTCCTCCATCATTGACCTGCAAATACAGGAACAGTGTGAGAATGTGGAGCTGGAGGAAGAAACGTCTACTGATGGTAAAACTCTTCATCTTTTGTGTTTACTGAACTTAATCATTAAAGAAGATCATCATAGCTTTAAACATTTGCAGAGTTCAAATGTTCAGATGTGCAGATGTTTGTGTATCTGAACTCTTCAGTTTTGTCTTTGTAAATACTATAAATGTATTATTTGTAGCAGTATTGAAAAGTTTGTGTGTTTATATATAATTGTTATATTTTCCTCTTTAGATCAAACTTCAGTGGAGACCATATCTTCTGTAGAGAGTTATGGTCCTCAGAACACTCCCAACAGTAGTTTTGAGATTCCTCTCTTCACTGTTGTTGAGCGAATCCAGGAGTTTCCAGATGATCTGTCAGAGGAAGAAACTGTGTGTCCTCTGGCAGAAAACCCAAGCCAAGACATGGTCTTGATTATTGGGAGTAAGTTCATATTAATTATGGCTGCTTGATGCTTTCACTTTTTTAAAGGATTAGATGTTTCTGCATTATGTATTAGTGACGTAATGGTGTATAAAGTGGTAATAAAGTTTTACTTTTGCATTGTAGAATATGAATCTGTCTCTAAAACTAATTGTATTTGAACAGGCATGTGCTGGACCTACAACATGGGTGAGCTACTGGGAGAAGGAGGATTTGGTGCCGTATATGCTGGTGTCCGTGCCCATGATGGTCTTCCGGTAAATTTATATATATTTTTGCATAATCAACCTAACAAACTATATTTATGTGTTATGCTTTGTCGTTTGTAACACAATTAGAGCCCTTGATAAATGGTCAACCTGACCAAACATGCTCAGATTTATGACTAGAATTTCAACAAGGATTATTGAATGGTCTGAAGTAATCCAGTGCTAACTGTAAAATTCTGTTTTGTTGATCAGGTGGCAATCAAGTTTGCCAAAAAAATGGAGGGCATGGAATATCTCTACGTTGTAAGTAGACTCATCTCCTCTAACTCTGTTTTTTTTTTTTTTCAACAGTGTTAATCATAGACAGCAAACTATCTTTCAATAAACAAATTATAAACATGTTGTGCAAACCACCTTAATTTAACCATCCTAAAAACTCTTTCCACTAGCCTGGCCTTCCAGAACTTGTACCGCTTGAAATCGGCCTCACACTTATGGCAAACAAGGGTCCCAGCTCACCCAACATAATCGATCTGCTGGATTGGCAGGACTTTCCAGACCATTATATAATGGTCCTGCAGCGCCCTTCACCATGCCTGAGTGTGTTCAAGCTGTTGGAGAGCTGTGGCAACATCTTTGAAGAAAGGTTTGCTCGGTATGTGATGCGCCAGGTTATCGAGGCAGCTGAGACCTGCTGTCGGCGCGGAGTATTCCACAGAGATATAAAATTGGAGAACTTGATAGTCAACACACACACCATGGATGTCACACTGATTGACTTCGGCTGTGGGAACCTGTTCCACGAAACAGAGTACCACACTTTTAGTGGTATGTACAGTATTAAAACTTTAGTGTCATGACACACAAGCTGCTGAATACAGTAAAAACAAACTGTTGTAACTCAGACATACAAATCTCTTTCCTCCAGGCACAGAGATGTACTGCCCTCCAGAGTTTTTCGAAACGGGCAAATACTTAGCACGGCCAGCAACCGTGTATTCGCTTGGAGTGCTGCTATACACTATGGTGTGCGGATATATGCCAGACTACACGGATCGGGAAAAGATGCAGCACTGGCTCTGGTATCTGCCGTCCTTGTCCTGTGGTAAGAACTTGAAAAAATTGTAACAATCATACAAAAAAGTGTCTGACAAAGCCACTTGGCTCAGCTGTCCAAAATGCCATCAGGAGATGTAAAGGATGTTTAAAGTAATGATCAAACATTAAACCTGTCTTTCAGAATGCAGTCATCTCATAAATGCCTGTCTGCATCCCGATCCCAGCGAGAGGATACAACTGGAGCAGATTCTCCTCCACGACTGGTTTACGGTACCTATGATCTACAAGAACTTTTCAAAATGTCAGTTATTTTGGGGACAATAAACCTGATTTTGTTTTTGTTTTTGCTTTAGATCTCACCATCAGACATGGAGGATGAGCGCCCGGTCCTGGTCATGCAGGAAGAGCTGATTAGCCAGGCATGCTAACACCAGTGGCCTCACCACCTCTCCAGTCCTTTGCTTCTTGCTAATGTCTGGTGTCAGAGCTTGAGGCAGCAATATTTGCGTCTTGCGGTGTCGCTGCCAAAAATGTATTGTTGAATTGAAATAAAATTGTGTCAATTGAACTGTTGTGTTTGTCATGTTTTTGTCCATTTATTTGCTGAATTAGAAATGGAGTTTGCATTAAGCCTAGTAAGACCATGATTAACTAGTACAGGTGTATTTTATTATGAAAGAAGCTAAAAAAAGAATATTGTGGTCCTCCAGGAGCTGGATTGGACATAGTAAGTAGTAAGGAATGTGTATTTATATTGCACATTTATTGTGTATGACCATACACCCAAAGAGCTTCACAATCATGAGGGGGGTCTCTCCTCACCACCACCAGTGTGCAGCATACACTTGGATGATGCGATGGCAGCCACAGGACAATGGTGCTAGTGCGCTCACCACTAGGGTTGGGTATCGTTTGGATTTTTTTCGATACCAGGGCCAAATCGATACTTTTAAAACGATTCCGGTGCCAAAACGGTGCCTGAATTGATACTTTTTAGCCACAAAATGATGGTGGATGACTTTACAAAAATATTTTATTTGACAAAATATTTTTAAAAATCATTTTAATAGAACAATATAATTACAGTTTAAAGTAAACATAAATTCATTTTGTATTACATTAATACATTTCCTTTGATCATTTGTTGGTTAGCATGAATTTAAGATTTGCATTATGAAATTACATTAGCTTACTATTAACCTGTGGGGGGCGGGCAGTGGCCACATACTTTTAGGAGCACATTTTAACATATATATCATAAAATACTTAAAACATTATTCAAAGTCATTTGTTTTCATGCATCACTCTGCAGTCTTCATAAACAAGATAATTAAATAACTTAAACTCAAAATAATCTTCCTTGTTTATTTATTTGACAAGTAACATTATACCGGTGTAGGAGAACACATTTCTAACATTCAAGTAAATCATGGCACATTGCTGCACCTGTAAACTCTAACAGGCCTACAGCTGAAGTCAATTTATTTTGCCCTCCTATTCATTTACAATAATGTTTCTGAAAATTTTTACAGTGTTTCCTAAAAAAAATAATTATTCTGGTGTCATAATAAGTTTGCATTGATAATGACCAAAACACATTGAATGACAGTAAAAAGAGGCAATTTTACCCAATAAATGCGTTAATAATATCAACTGATTTATATATAGTCAATCAAATGAACATAAATGATTAAAAACTGCAACAAACATTTATTTAGGCCCGAACTACAAAACCAAATGTAAAACAATTTAAATATCAGTTTTGCTTAAGTTGCACGCTAGTGTTGTAAGAGAGAGGAGTGGTCGCTTTAAGACTTGCTATTTAAGGGAGTTGCACCGTGAACCTGACAACACGAAAATAAGTAAAAGAAGGGCATGCATTGATTACTTTTGTCCGTCTCATCCTTTGCACGAGCTGTTACTCTGCCGCTGGACATTACTGAAGCGGAGAGAGTAACACTAGTTTGATCATGTATAAATATCATTCTAACTATATTATATAAATATTATTATAACAGTGAAATAGAGATAGATTGATCTCTGCAGCAGCTGCCGAAGAGCTGCACGCTGCAGACGCAGCTGGTGTGAAAGGCAAACGCCTGCGTGCTGCTTCTGATCTCCATACGCGCTGCTCACACACTGCTTCCGCTTGCAGTCTAAAACAGGCGTTGCACACAACTTTTGTAAAGACAGTTGCTGTGTAAGAATCCTTGCTTGTAAAATACGCTTTAGAATGCTTAGTTTAAGCAAATTGGACGAACGTGATCACAAGTGTAGATTTGATCAGTGTCGCTCTCGCTCACCGAAAACCAGGCTAAATGCGATGTACTACGTTGCGTGCGTCTATTCCCTAGCGACAATAACAAACGCCTGATGTCGCCTGTTCCTCAAAGTTGTTCAGAATTAAATGTTTAGTGATGTTGTGACACAACGCTTATGTGGGCCTTTTTTCATGCACCCCTTTGATGCTTCTTACGTTTTCGCCGCAGCACTGAATAGGCACCGAATAGCACCGAAATTCATACGCTTATTTAATACCGGTACATACCGGTTACCAAGGTACCGGTGCTATAATGGCACTGGGTTTCGGTACCCAACCCTACTCACCACACACCAGCTATTGGTGGAGTGGAGAGACAGTGATAGAGCCAATTCGATAGATGCGGATGATTGGGAGCCCATGATAGGTAAGGTACGATGCAGGGAATTTGGCCAGGACACAGTGGTTACACCCCTACTCTTTACAAGAAGTGTCATGGGATTTTTAATAACCACTGAGAGTCAAGACCTCGGTTTAACGTTTCATGCGAAAGACAACGCTTACTGACAGTATAGTGTCCCCAGGCCCGGCGCCAGCATATCAGAACTGAGGGGGCATTTTAAATCCATAGGGGGGCACTAGACCTGGTGGCTGATTTTGGTCTCTCTTGTTCCTTTCATTTAGGCTATTTATTTACATGTATTATTACTTTACTTTGTTACTGACCTAAGGCAGTAATATACATTTTAATAGTAATAATAACAGTTTCGATATTACTGATTTTATTAATGACGGTAATGCAACAATACCGCTTATTAATGCAGACGGATCATGGCTTTAGTGCCAAACGAGTGCTTTAAATCTTATGTTATTCTCCTTATTTATTTCCATTTTATTTCAAATAACAGGCATATGAATGTTTAAAGTTTTAGGTAAAGACATCAAATTATGCTACACATGCAAGCTGACCCACAATCAGACTATTCGTATATCCGGTAAATAAATATAGTGAAATCAGCTTAACCGAGTCATCATGCTTCACATAGCCTATTACCCAACCAACATCAGTGTTAGGGAAAAGCTAAATGTTACAATCTAATGTCATTTAAAACAATTACTTAGTTACATTTTAAGACATGAATGTAGCCAAATACCTAAAAAAGATACCAAAATTCACAGTTATTACCGTGAAAATTAGTTTGGCACGGATAACATGCAACTCAATAGGCTATATAACTTTTTCATCATTTTAAATGTAAAAATAAAGATTTATCTTAGGCTATCATAACTGTGTTTTTTCGTGATATTGTCTGGTTGTCATTTGTAAACCATCATAAACCATTTGGTTACTAAGCCTACCCGTCATGTTATTTATTTATTAAGCCTATTTTAATAACTTGTTTTCGGGTTATTTTCATTTTAGGGCCATAAGCTACAAGTCAAAACAAACTCGATATGCTGACTGTATTTTAGCTCTTAAAATAGGTTTACAATATATTATGTTGTTTAATTTTGCATGAGCAAATAGCAGTATAGCGTAAATTACATATTTTTAAAAGATTCTCGTTCAGCCCACCTGCAGCACGTGAGAGGTTTCTCGGTTGATCCGCGGTAAATCCACTTAAGCACTATATACCTATTCCATTTATAACACTGCAAACTTGACTTCGCAGGCCGATCATCTTTAAACGCAAAAGGCATTTATTAAGTGTTATACCTTGACTGCTGCTGCATAATGGGATGTTTTTCTACACAACTGTAAAAGTGCGCTTTTTAGCAATGTCAAAATGAAAGCAAACATTTAAAGGTTTCTGCGTTTTGTCAATTTTAGCTTAATTGTAATCATATTAATATTAATAACAATATTAATTAATCAATTAATATATTATTTTGTAGTGTAGCCTACTGTGGGAAAACACTGCCTACTGTTTTTATTAAAACATTTTTATTAGGCTAAATCTTCCTGAATAACTAATGTGAAAATGACTGGTAGTTGCGTCTCTGCTAAAATTAATTTAACAGCAAATTTCTTCTGCGTTTCTTCCTTTTAGCGCTCAAGAGAGTTGTGTTTAAAGAATTAGTTTACCAAAACATGTAATGAATTAAGCTGCTCCTATCATGTCACCCACTTTTCTCCCTTGTGAGTTGAGTGCGCCTCCATCGCCGTGTGCACGTTTTATTTACGTGGGCGCACCTGACCTGATGCGAGGACTTGATCTCTGGTCTAAAGGATTAGCTTTAATTCCACAATTTTCATCATTTAATTGCTATGTCATATATTTTAAAATATTTAAATGTGTGTTCTAAAGGTTGGAACGACAGCAGTGTTAGTAATTAATGACAGAAAGAATTTTCAGTTTTGGGTGAACAATCCTTTATGAAAACTGGGGGGGCACAAATTCTTTCTGAGGGGGCAATGCCCCCCTTTGCTCCCCTGTAGCGCTGGGCCTGAGTGTCCTTTTCACTATACTGGGGCATTAGGACTCACACACTGCTGGCCTCACTAACACCACTTCCAACAGCAACCTAGTTTTCCCATGTGATCTCACATCCAGGTTCTGACCAGGCTCAGCCCTGCTTAGCTTCAGTAAGTAACTGCTCTTGGGCTGCAGGGTGATATGGCTGTGAATTTTCTGAACTATGAATATTTACAAGTGAGAAACTCTGTTCTTCTTCATTCTACACCAGCGGTTCCCAACAAAGGAGTCCCAGCCCACAAGGGGGTCTCAGCAAGCTCTGTAGGGGGTTGCGTCATATTTTAAAAAAATAAAATAAAAATTAGCAGTGAACAATTAAGAGAATGATAATTTTAATAAGACATTTGCATATGACCCCCCAATACCTCAAGTGTACCCAATACATATGGCCTACTGATGTTTAGAGAATCAGTTTTATTGCCGAGTGTGCTTCACACACACAAGGAATTTGTTTTGGCTACAGAAGCTTCCAGTGTACATAAAGTGACAAGTGACAACACAAAATAAATATGAAAAAAAGAAAGACGATAAACATCAAACAGAGATGCAGTTAGTCAAGAAATCTGGATGTTGAATTGTATGTACAGGTTTGTTATGAAATACACAGGTTATATGGTGATGTGTACAAATGCAAATGGAGAAAGTATTGCATTGTATATTGATATAAGGTTCTGTGTACAAGTGCATATGAGAAAGTATTGCATGTTTATTGCACAGTTGGGGGATATTTAACTGTTCATGAGGTAGAAAGCCTGAGGAAATAAACTTTTCCTGCGTCTGGCGATTTTTGTGCTACGTGCTCTGAAGCGCCGACCAGACGGTAAAAGTTCAAACAGGTAGTGTGCTGGGTGTGAGGCATCCAGAGTGATTTTGCGAGCCCTTTTACTCACTCTGGAAGAGTAGGAAGGGTAGTGTCAGTGATACATTCAGCAGTCCGGACTATCCGCTGTAGTGTACAGAGGTCGGTTTTGGCAGCTGAGCCGAACCAGGCATTGATTGAAGTGCAGAGGATGGATTGAATGACAGCTGAGTAGAACTGTACGAGCAGCTCCTGAGTCCTGTGGAAGGTTGAACTTCCTCAACTGACGAAGGAAGTACAGTCTCTGCTGGGCTTTCTTCACAATAGAGTCTATGTGAATGTCCCACTTTAGATCCTAAGAGATGGTGGTGCCCAGGAACCTGAATTTTGCATTTATCTTTTACATATCTAGATAAACTAATAAACAAATTGTTTGTTTGAAAAAATTTTTGGCATACCTACTGCAAACATATATGAGCGATAATATCAATAAATGTGGAGGGGGGTTACAATAATGTCCAGGGGAAAAGGGGGTTTCAAGCAAAAAAAGGTTGGGAACTACTGTTTCATGATGCCCTGGTTGCTGACTTGTGTCACTGAAAGAGACATGTCAGTCTTTAAAATGATGGAAGCATTGATCTATAGATAATTTAATATCTGCATCAACACATCAACAACAAAAAAACATGTTTGGAAGTATTAGTAGAATAATAAAAATAATTTAAAAATAAAAAGGAATGTGGTTGAGAATCAGCTGATTAAGCCATAGGGATGAGCCCTTCTAAAAGAAACATAGTGACAATCTTTCAAGCCAAGATACTGATTTTATTTCCTTCAGACAACACAGGAAAATGGTGAGTTTGAGTATTCTTGTATGTGATAGAGCCGTGAAGTCTCTCATAAAATAAAACATTTGTTATATTATTATATTATTTTAGCCTAACTTTGTTTTATTGATGCTTATTAGTCAGAGAGTTACAATATTAAATACAAAGAATCACAAGTCATCAACTGATAAAATGAAGATAAATTAAATAACATTATGGATAAAAGTAACACATGTTAGTCCATATAGCAAAATATACAAATATGCTAACGGTACAGCAGTAAAAAAAATTAATTAATTCGTTTAAAAATAATTTTTAAAAGAAGGAAGAAAGAAAATAAACATAAATATATAAACATGTATATTTTGTCTGTGCTCTCCATTTTAAACAGGAAAATGAGAGAGGAACGGTTGTCAAATATAGTAAAAAAAAATTCTAATACTGCAATCTGTATACCTAATCTTTTCTATTTGAATAGACTGCATCAGATCATGCATCCAATGCACATAACTGGGCGGAGAAGGATTTTTCCACTTCAGTGTTATATGCCTTTTAGCAATTATTAAACAGATAGCAAGTGCATTTGACTGTGAAGATGACAAGAAAACATTTGTAGACAAATTATGGTTTATCAATGTTTAAAGATTTATATATAGATGATGTTTTTGCATCCTTTCAACAGCTTTTAGATAAGTTTTCCTTGCCCAGAAACAATTTTTTCCGATATTTACAGGTTCGTAGCTTTATCCGTAATAGGTATCCTCAGTTTCCTAGCCTCCCCTCCCCTACTCCTCTAGATTTAATTCTTGAACCAGTATCTATTGGGAAAGGTATGATTTCAGTTTTTTATGACAAAATATGTTCTCTGCATAGAAGCTCACTGACATCCATAAAAACCCAATGGGAAGAAGACCTAACAGAGGACATTTCAGATGAACTGTGCATGGGAAAACATTTTATACAGGGTACATTCTTCATCTGTGCGTGCTAAACATGGTTGGATCCAATGCAAAATACTCCATCGTTCTCATTGGACTAAGGTCAAGCTTTCAAAAATTTACCCTGATGTTGATCCTCTCTGTGACTGTTGTCGCCAGGCTTCTGCAACACTGGCACATATGTTTTGGTTTTGCCCAACTCTATGTGGATATTGGTCAGAAATATTTGAGACAATGTCTCAAGTATATGGACAAGCAATTAAACCTGTATCTACAACAGCACTGTTTGGTACACTTCCTTTGTCAGTTCACTGTTCACGATACAAAGCAGATTTTGTGGCTTTTGTTTCCCTCCTGGCCAGACGCCGTATTTTACTACATTGGAAGTCAGCTGCTCCACCTACTCACTCCATGTGGATTAATGACATTTTTCTCTTCATAAAACTGGAACAAATCAGACACTGTTTGAAAGGTTCTTCTAAAAACTTTCATAAAATGTGGGGCTCTCTCCTTGAATATATGGAAATGTATACTCCCTGCATACTGGATGATAGTTAATTTTGACATTTTTCTCTGCTGTGTGACATCTCATGTGACATCAAGACCAGGCTTTTAGTTTGGTGTATAAACAATTGTTATGGTTGGTTGGCATTTTATTTTATTTTATTTTATTTCTTCTGTTGTTGTTGTTGAATTTTTTTTAATTTATTTTTTTTTATTTAAATATATCTGGGGTTAATAATTGTCATAATCATTTAGATCCTTGTTTACTTCTCTCTCTTTATGTCAAAATGTACAATAATATTCTAAAATGTGTGATATTTGTAAATTTTTGAAAATTTCTATAAATAAAGTTGGGGAAGAAAAAAAAGAAAACATTTGTAGGGTTACGTCTAAATAATGCTACTAGGGTGGGTGGGTTGATATCTAAAAGAAAACATTTAGAAATTGATTTAAAAATTGATGCCCAAAAAGTGCTTAGTGCTGAAAAAAGCCAGAAAGTATGTCAGAAAGAGTGGCTGGAGCTTGTTGTCACCCATCACAAGTTGGATCAAAACTAGGCTGACCTTCATATTTTAAACAAACATTTGGAAATCTATTGTATTTAATTAAATTTGTTTTCTGGAAAACACAAGTTCTCTAAGCTAAAAGGAAAAACAGAAAATAGCATGTTTCCTCTACTAGGTTTAGTAGATTCAGATTATTATGTTTTTAAATCCCATCCACACATCTTTACTCTAATTCATTTCTGTCTTCAATTCCTTACATTTAAATATACATACAAAAAGAAATAAAACTCTTCAAGTAGACTACTCCCACTGAGATCATGAAGTAATGTGGACTATCAGTTCTGTTCAGATACCATGATATTTGCCGCCCTCAAGTGGTTGAGAAAGAGAATACAACCAATAAGAAAGTATTAGCGACGCAGCATTATACTGCAGAAGTACGCAATTAAACATTTATATAAGTGCTTGAACAAGTATTAAAACAAGTAGATTTACATTTATAATATGATTTAATATTTATTTTAGCTTTATTTTAGGATTTACTATAAGAATTGTCAGGTATTATGTATGCAATATGTAGTTCAGCAAATTTTAAAACAAAACAAATTGATCTCAAGGACATTTTATTTGATGTCATAATTAGAACGTCAAAGTGGAATGTTAAGGCTTGACGGTGTAATTTAGTTTTAGTGGGTAGTTTGGAGTGAGACTGCGTTTGTTTATTATGGGTCAGCGAATTTCTTGTCTGAATATAGCGACAGAGTCGGAGTGTGTGTACAGTTTACATCCTAGTACACCACTTCAGTTAAATAATGACACGCCTCGTCTTGAAAACCATCAGCTTGATGAGAGCCGTGTTGTTCCTTGTGAGGAAGATGGAGGGAGTTTGGTAAAGGAGAAAAAGAAAGTGAAGAAAAAATCGAGTTTTTGGAGAAAGCTGTTCCGCTTTTCACGCCAAAGAACTGGAAGGGGTGAAAAGGTGGAGCAGGTGGACAGTGAGAAGGTGAAGCCAGTCATCGAAGCAGAACCTTCTACTGATGGTAAATCCCTTTATTTTTTCTGTGACTGGAAAAAATGAATAAAAATGATCACCATAGCTTTAAAATATTGTCTCTGCAAATATATGTATTTGTAAAAGGATTGAAACGTTTCTGTGTGTTTTAATTAAAGTAAATGTTGAATGTATGTTCCCCTCTTTACATCAAACCTCAGTAGGAAACATCTCAAGCCCTGTTGAGCATCATGAATCCCAGCAAGCTGCTAACAGCCTTGAGGTTCCTTCCTCCATCATTAACCTGCAAATACAGGAACAGTGTGAGAATGTGGAGCTGGAGGAAGAAACGTCTACTGATGGTAAATCTCTTCATCTTTTGTGTTTACTGAACTTAATCATTAAAGAAGATCATCATAGCTTTAAACATTTGCAGAGTTCAAATGTTCAGATGTGCAGATGTTTGTGTATCTGAACTCTTCAGTTTTGTCTTTGTAAATACTATAAATGTATTATTTGTAGCAGTATTGAAATGTTTGTGTGTTTATATATAATTGTTATATTTTCCAGATCCAACTTCAGTGGAGACCATATCTTCTGTAGAGAGTTATGGTCCTCAGAACACTCCCAACAGTAGTTTTGAGATTCCTCTCTTCACTGTTGACGAGCAAATCCAGGAGTTTCCAGATGATCTGTCAGAGGAAGAAACTGTGTGTCCTCTGGCAGAAAACCCAAGCCAAGACATGGTCTTGATTATTGGGAGTAAGTTCATATTAATTATGGCTGCTTGATGCTTTCACTTTTTGAAAGGATTAGATGTTTGTGCATTATGTATTAGTGACGTAATGGTGTATAAAGTGGTAATAACGTTTTACTTTTGCATTGTAGAATATGAATCTGTCTCTAAAACTAATTATATTTGAACAGGCATGTGCTGGACCTACAACATGGGTGAGCTACTGGGAGAAGGAGGATTTGGTGCCGTATATGCTGGTGTCCGTGCCCATGATGGTCTTCCGGTATATTTATATATATTTTTGCATAATCAACCTAACAAACTATATTTATGTGTTATGCTTTGTCTTTTGTAACACAATTAGAGCCCTTGATAAATGGTCAACCTGACCAAACATGCTACAAATTCATGACTAGAATTTCAACAAGGATTATTGAATGGTCTGATGTAATCCAGTGCTAACTGTTATATTCTGTTTTGTTGATCAGGTGGCAATCAAGTTTGCCAGAAAAATGGAGGGCATGGAATATCTCTACGTTGTAAGTAGACTCATCTCCTCTAACTCTGTTTTTATTTTTTTTTCAACAGTGTTAATCATAGACAGCAAACTATCTCTCAATAAACAAATTATAAACATGTTGTGCAAACCACCTTAATTTAACCATCCTAAAAACTCTTTCCACTAGCCTGGCCTTCCAGAACTTGTACCACTTGAAATCGGCCTCACACTTATGGCAAACAAGGGTCCCAGCTCACCCAACATAATCGATCTGCTGGATTGGCAGGACTTTCCAGACCATTATATAATGGTCCTGCAGCGCCCTTCACCATGCCTGAGTGTGTTCAAGCTGTTGGAGAGCTGTGGCAACATCTTTGAAGAAAGGTTTGCTCGGTATGTGATGCGCCAGGTTATCGAGGCAGCTGAGACCTGCTGCCGGCGCGGAGTATTCCACAGAGATATAAAATTGGAGAACTTGATAGTCAACACACACACCCTGGATGTCACACTGATTGACTTCGGCTGTGGGAACCTGTTCCACGAAACAGAGTACCACACTTTTAGTGGTATGTACAGTATTAAAACTTTAGTGTCATGACACACAAGCTGCTGAATACAGTAAAAACAAACTGTTGTAACTCAGACATGCAAATCTCTTTCCTCCAGGCACAGAGATGTACTGCCCTCCAGAGTTTTTTGAAACGGGCAAATACTTAGCACGGCCAGCAACCGTGTATTCGCTTGGAGTGCTGCTATACACTATGGTGTGTGGATATATGCCAGACTACACGGATCGGGAAAAGATGCAGCACTGGCTGTGGTATCTGCCGTCCTTGTCCTGTGGTAAGAACTTGAAAAAATTGTAACAATCATACAAAAAAGTGTCTGACAAAGCCACTTGGCTCAGCTGTCCAAAATGCCATCAGGAGATGTAAAGGATGTTTAAAGTAATAGTCAAACATTAATCCTGTCTTTCAGAATGCAGTCATCTCATAAATGCCTGTCTGCATCCCGATCCCAGCGAGAGGATACAACTGGAGCAGATCCTCCTCCACGACTGGTTTACGGTACCTATGATCTACAAGAACTTTTCAAAATGTCAGTTTTTTGGGGACAATAAACCTGATTGTGTCTTTGTTTTTGCTTTAGATCTCACCATCAGACATGGAGGATGAGCGCCCGGTCCTGGTCATGCAGGAAGAGCTGATTAGCCAGGCATGCTAACACCAGTGGCCTCACCACCTCTCCAATCCTCTGCTTCTTGCTAATGTCTGGTGTCAGAGCTTGAGGCAGCAATATTTGCGTCTTGCGGTGTCGCTGCCAAAAATGTATTGTTGAATTGAAATAAAATTGTGTCAATTGAACTGTTGTGTTTGTCATGTTTTTGTTGAGTTTGCATTAAGCCTAGTAAGACCATGATTAACTAGTACAGGTGTATTTTATTATGAAAGAAGCTAAAAAAAGAATATTGTGGTCCTCCAGGAGCTGGATTGGACATAGTAAGTAGTAAGGAATGTGTATTTATATTGCACATTTATTGTGTATGACCATACACCCAAAAAGCTTCACAATCATGAGGGGGGTCTCTCCTCACCACCACCAGTGTGCAGCATACACTTGGATGATGCATTGGCAGGCACAGGACAACGGTGCCAGCTATTGGTGGAGTGGAGAGACAGTGATAGAGCCAATTCGGTAGATGCGGTTGATTGGGAGGCAACTATAGGTAAGGGCCGATGCAGGGAATTTGGCCAGGACACAGTGGTTACACCCCTACTCTTTACAAGAAGTGTCATGGGATTTTTAACAACCACTGAGACCTCGGTTTAACGTTTCATCCGAAAGACAGAGCTTACTGACAGTAAAGTGTCCCTTTCTCTATACTGGGGCATTAGGACTCACACACTGCTGGCCTCACTAACACCATTTCCAACAGCAACCTAGTTTTCCCATGTGGTGTCCCATCCAGATTCTGACCAGGCTCAGCCCTGCTTAGCTTCAGTAAGTAACTGCTCTTGGGCTGCAGGGTTATATGGCTGTGAATTATCTGAACTATGAATATTTACAAGTGAGAAACTCTGTTCTTCTTCATTCTACACCAGCGGTTGCCAACAGGGGGGTCCCAGCCCACAAGGGGGTCTCAGCGAGCTCTGTAGGGGGTTGCGTCATATTTAAAAAAAAAAAAAATTAGCAGTGGACAATTAAGAGAATTATCATTTTGCTTTAGTTGGTTTTATTTCCTGGCTGACCAAAAATTGTCAAATTTGTAATTCGTCTTCCACAAAAAAAAAAAAAATTTCATCTTCAGCAGCTAATAGTAATGACACAAGAATCCTGGACCCAGGTGAGGAAGCTCCAAACATTTTAGGTCACAGCACTAGCAATACTGGAAACACGAAATGCAGGAAATACCAAGATATTTACCTGAACTATGGTTTTTTTATCTTTTCTTGAAACAAAATGTCCCTGACCCAGCCACAGTGCATCATCTGTGACAAAGTTCTTGTTAACAAATGCATGAGGCTGTCCAAATTAATAAGACATTTGCATATGACCCCCCAATACCTCAAGCGTACCCAATACAAATGGCCTACTGTTGTTTTCAGAATCAGTTTTATTGCCGAGTGTGCGTCACAAATACTAGGAATTTGTTTTGGCTACAGAAGCTTCCAGTGTACATAAAGTGACAAGTGACAACACAAAATAAATATGGAAAAAAGAAAGACAATAAACATCAAACAGAGATGCAGTTAGTCAAGAAATCTGGATGTTGAATTGTATGTACAGGTTTGTTATGAAATACACAGGTTATATGGTGATGTGTACAAATGCAAATGGAGAAAGTATTGCATTGTATATTGATATAAGGTTCTGTGTACAAGTGCGTATGAGAAAGTATTGCATGTTTATTGCACAGTTGGGGGATATTTAACTGTTCATGAGGTAGAAAGCCTGAGGAAATAAACTTTTCCTGCGTCTGGCGATTTTTGTGCTTGGTGCTATGAAGCGCCGACCAGACGGCAACAGTTCAAATAGGTAGTGTGCTGGGTGTGAGGCATCCAGAGTGATTTTGCGAGCCCTTTTACTCACTCTGGAAGAGTAGGAAGGGTAGTGTCAGTGATACATTCAGCAGTCCGGACTATTCGCTGTAGTGTACAGAGGTCGGTTTTGGCAGCTGAGCCGAACCAGGCGGTGATTGAAGTGCAGAGGATGGATTGAATGACAGCTGAGTAGAACTGTACGTGCAGCTCCTGAGTCCTGTGGAAGGTTGAACTTCCTCAGCTGACGAAGGAAGTACAGTCTCTGCTCGGCTTTCTTCACAATAGAGTCTATTTGAATGTCCCACTTCAGATCCTGAAAGATTGTGGTGCCCAGGAACCTGAATTTTGCATTTATATTTTACAAATCTAGATAAACTAATAAACAAATAGTTTTTTTTCCATAATATTTTTATTTTTCGTTTTCAGTTTGTACACATTGAATACAGCATTTTACAAACATTTTACAACAATAATAACCTTGTTGCATTTACAAATTATACAAAATATAAGGATATATATATATATTTATAATAAAAACTAAACCAAACAACAAACAAACAACAAAAAATAAATAAATAAAATAAAAATAAAACTGCTCCTCTTTTTTTTCAACAATAGTAATCTATTCAAACATGACAATTATAATCATACTGAGTACTAGGCACAGCAAATATATATTAAATATTGTATCAATGCAAAACTATAAAGCTGGAACTGCATTATCCATCAAAAATTATTCATCAACTTCTTCCTCTGTTAAATCCACTTCTTTGATATAACTAATAAAAGGACTCCATATGTTTTCAAATACACGTTGTTTAGCTTTTAGTATACAAGTTATTTTTTCTAATGGCAGACTTGACAACATTTGTCTTATCCTATGAGTACTGTTTGGTCTTTGCATCTTTGTCCATAGCAAAGCTACACATCTTTTGGCATAAAGCAAGCCGAGGTCTATAAATACTTGTTCGCTTCTACTATAGTTTGAGTCCTCTGGGAATAAACCTAGCAAAAAAAGCTTTGGGTCGAGGACGATTTGTTTTGAAATAATTTTTTCACTTATAACTCTCACCTCTTCCCAAAATAATTTAATTTTTGTGCACTGCCAAATACAGTGAAACAAGGTTCCTCTAGCTTCCAAATATTTTTTACATATATCTGGTATGTTTTTATTATATTTATTTAATTGTACTGGTGTTACATATGTCTCTGCATGATTTATTTATATTGTATAAGTTTAAGACGTGAATATATAGACATAGTGTGAGCTTTAGTGCAGGCTTCTTCCCAATCATCATCCTAAAATTCAGACTGCAAATCCTCTTTCCATGCGTTCAACTTACAGTATGAATTCTCGGGTGAGTTCATTGTCAGCAAACCATAAAGCTCTGATATGATACCTTTTTTTTAGATTATCTTTTATCATCACGTTTTCTAAAGAGGAGTATTTGGGTCTATTAAGATCATTGTCTTGATTTGCTTTAACAAAACTTCTTAATTAAAGATATTTGAAAAAAAATGTTTTCTATTAAGAATAAATTTAAGCCTCAACTCTTCAAAGGACATCATTCTATCTGAATCTGTCAAGTAAAGATCTTGAATCATTTTAAGTCCTTTCGACTCCCACAGTTTAAATGTTGCATCTGATCTTCCTGGTACAAAGAACGGATTGACCCATATTGGACTAAATTGAGACAATGAATTTGAGTTTTTTTTATATCTTTGTACATCAAACCATATCTGTAACATGTGTTTTATGATTGGGTTTTTTGTTTGTTTGCGTAGTTTTTTTGCAGTGTCTGAATAGATGTATGAGGGAAGAGGTAAGGTTAAATTATAAGATTCCATTTCTGTCCAATGTGGAGATTCACTTGTTGAGAAGTAGAACATAATAGACCTTAGCTGTGCCGCCCAGTAGTACCACAGTAAGTTTGGACAATTTAAACCTCATCTGTCATATGGCAGGTATAACATAGACAAACGCAATCTTGCCCCCCTATTGTTCCATATAAATCTGACAAACATGGTTTTTATTTTTGCAAACTGTTCTGAAGATGGAGGGAATATTTTGAAATAAAGTAGTTTGGGTAGTATGTTCATTTTTAAAATATTAATATTTCCAATTATAGAAACTGGTAGTAACATCCATCTATCAATTGATTCATTAATTTTTGTCATTAAAGATGCATAATTAGCATCAACAATATTTTCTAATCTTGGTAAAATCTGTACTCCCAAATATTTAAACTGTTCAACAACTCCAAATTGGGATTGTAAGGCGTGGGATATCACAAATACTTTGATGTCTTTGACAATTCAAACATGAGTCAAAAACAGAGACAATTGGCTTCACAACCCAGCAGGTGGGAATGCGGGAAAGAACCAGTTCCCGCTACATTTACATTTGAATCCACTGAAACTCGACTTCAACCACCCTAACTCACACATATGGTCATTTCAAAGTCTGAATGTTCTAAATTAACCCAAGTGACTTTATCTATCATGTTGGATATCATTTGAAATGTATCAGTGCGACTGGTTCAATGGTCTCATTCTCTCAGAAATAGACATAATCAAAACAATAAATATATAACTTCAGGCATCTTTTGAACCACTGTGAAGGGTGTGACTTTCCCACAGGCAGCACTAAATGCAAATGCCTTTTGTTATGCACACACCCCTTTTCTTGAGGGGATTCTTGGATTACTTAAGGTAAGGTTTGAGAAATGTTCGGGGCGATTCTGCTTACCCAGATCAGCCCGTAACATGGAGCTTACGCTCCATGTTATGTATAATTTGAAGTCAGGTATGCATCTTTTCATCTTGGATTTATCTTTGATAATTTGATGTTTTGTATTGATCGTTTATGAATTGACTGATTGAATTGGCATAATACATTTACCTGACTAATAAATTGTTATGTTTGAACATATCTTGCTCACTCTGTAATTATTAGTTCTAGTAGATTACGCTGTATCCTTGTTTCCGCACTTCTTGCGTCAGGTCAGTAGACGGACTAAAATCCAGTTGAGATGGAGCATTGGGCACACTAATTGTGTTTTAGGGATTCGACTGACTCTTGATGTTGATTCAAGTGTACTTAGGTGGAAAGGGTGTTAACTTCCGTCTAGGACAACAAGGAGTTGCACGGCTATCCTAGATTGGGTACCCGACCTTTGTTTGAAGGTAATATTATTCTAAATTAAGTTCATATGGGAAACCATGGGCTTGGTGAAAACCAAAGTTACTGTAGAGTCCAGTAGTCGGGTACATTTATAATAATGCCCTAACCTCTAATTAGAAATGATATTGTCTTTACTCAAGGGTGTACATCTAAGCGGGACTAACTAAAAGTACTTTAGAGCGAGCGCGCTGGTAGCGGCCATCTAAAAGTATTAGCCAATTACCTCTGTTTAATATTCAAGACTGACCAGAGTGTGACCGTGAGGGACGCCTTCGGCCGGGGCGATTTCTCTGAGCGACATGAGCACATGAATGAACGGATGTGATAGTTACTAGTGAAGACAAAAGGTTCAAACATTTATCTAAATTATATATTGATATAATCTTCTTAATGTTTTATAATTGCAGTCTGATAAAACTAAAGATAAATATATTAATATTCTAAACCACCTCATACTAAAATTGGAGTCAGATATAAGTTAAATTTAAGGTAAATCAACTTTGTACACTGGAAAGACCGAACAGGCATTAAACCTTCATCCACCAGTGGACACCGGCATTGGGCCAACTGGGTGGACCCTACAGGATGCCTCTTCATTTGGATTCTTTCTTTCATTTGAATTGAAGATTATTATGGAGGATTTTGTTTTATTGATCTTATATCCTGAGATATTGCCAAATGTTTTAATTAGTTTTACCACAGATGGAATCGATTTACTTATTTTTGACATAACTAGAATGACATTGTCAGCATACAAGGCTATTCTATGTTCTGTTGGTCCTAGCACTATTCCAGAGTATTGCTGATGTGAGCGTACTGCAGCTGTGAAGGGTTCAATTGCTAGTGTAAACAACAGGATCAGTCAAACCACTTTGTGTTATCCCTTTTACTGAACCCTCACTGCCCCTACTTATTTTAACAATTAACACTCGTCTGCAACCAGTATACTGTAGTCTATCCGTTTCACACATATTTCCTTTTTTGTCTGACTATCTAGTATTTTTTTTATAATATGACCTGATAGAGGCTTCAGATATTACAATGTATTTTGATTACCTGATAAAAGGTTTCAAATATCATTTCATTCTTAAATATTCCAACCTCTTTTTTTAACTGGTGTTAGTGTCCTCCTTAATTTTGTTGATGAATTCTCGTGCTTCGTCTGCTGTTTGAAAAGTACGAGTTTGTTCTTTGAATGTTACCAGCAGCCTGGCTGGGTTAATCATTCCTTGTCGAATCCCCAAGTTGCGCAGTTCCTGACGTATTGGGTCAAACTGCTTCCGTCGTTGGTGTATTCCAGTTGCCAAGTCAGCAAAAACCTTATTTGCTGGTTCTTGTACCGAATGTCTTGTTTGGCCCGTGCAGCTGTGATGACTACCTGCTTATCCTTGTAGTTAAGGAACCGCATTATCAGCGTTCGCGGCAGTGCTTTTGGGTCCCTCATTGGTCCGATTCGGTGTGCCCTTTCGATGATACATGAGGACTGCAAAGCGATACCATTCAGTAGTTCTGGAATTCACTTATCCATAAAGGAGCAGGGGTCTCGTCCCTCGGCGCCTTCCGGGAGGCCCACCAATCTCAAATTGTTTAAACGCGATATGGTTACTAAGTCCACAAGTTTATCCTCCAAGGTTTTGTTCTTTGACTCAAGTCTGTTTACTTTGATTTGCAGGTGGGCAACATCATCCTCTACGTTTGAAATCCGCAATTCTGCCTGCGACACTCGTTCACCACATTCACTTATCTCCTTTCTCATACTTTCAATCGCCGTCAAGATTCCATCAAATCTTGATGAAAAGTCCGTCTTCAGGGAGTTTATAGCAGCCAGTATGTCGTCCGCTTTTGCTCCTTCAACTGTGCCCTCTCCCTTAGACTCATCCGCCGCAGCTTCTTCGTTAGCCTTCTGTGTTTCACCACAGACACGGTAATCTGTTAGTTTCGGCTGTCTTGCCGATTTACTATTTTCTTTACTTAACGTGGCAGACTTTGACTTTGTGGCGTTTACATCAACCTTATTCTAACACGTTTTGTTGCATATACGAATGTTTTTAGTAGAAAGTTGTAATAATTAGGACAGAGCAGCGTGAGGCATGTCTTCTCAGGTGGCCGCCATTACCGGAAGTCAATAAACAAATTGTTTGTTTGAAAACAATTTTTTGTCATACCTACTGCAAACATATATGAGCGATAATATCAATAAATGTGGAGGTGGGTTACAATATTGTCCAGGGTAAAGGGGGTTTCAAGCAAAAAAAGGTTGGGAACTAATGTTTCATGATGCCCTGGTTGCTGACTTGTGTCACTGAAAGAGACATGTCAGTCTTTAAAATGATGGAAGCATTGATCTATAGATAATTCAATATCTGCATCAACACATCAACAACAAAAAAACATGTTTGGAAGTATTAGTAGAATAATAATTTAAAAATAAAAAGGAATGTGGTTGAGAATCAGCTGATTAAGCCAAAGGGATGAGCCCTTCTAAAAGAAACATAGTGACAATCTTTCAAGCCAAGATACTTATTTTATTTCCTTCAGACAACACAGGAAAATAGTGAGCTTGAGTATTCTTGTATGTGAAAGAGCCGTGAAGTCTCTCATAAAATAAAACATTTGTTATATTATTATATTATTTTAGCCTAACTTTGTTTATTGATGCTTATTAGTCAGAGAGTTACAATATTAAATACAAAGAATCACAAGACATCAACTGATAAAATGAAGATAAATTAAATAACATTATGGATAAAAGTAACACATGTTAGCAACCCAAGCTCATTCTGAAAACGTAGTCTCGCAGACGTTTCTGGATACAGCAGAATACGTCCCGGGAGGTATGTACGGCTGCATTTATTTTTTTCAAGCGAACGCTACTGGGCGGTGTGACGCTGTTCCCTTTTGCGCTGGCCAGCCAGCCGACCGCTTACCTCCTTGTGGAGGGCTTTCCAGCTGCAACCCGGTTGTCCACTCAGCTCACCGTGTACGTCGGCAGACTCGAGATGCAGAGAGGAATTGACCACGGCGATCGGTTTCGAGTCCGGGGAAGAGCGGTTCCAGCAATCAGGTAAGACAAAAACAGAATCCCAAAAATTAAGTGAACAAGTTTCGTAACAGGGTGAGAAGGTGGTGAAATCTGAAAACGTAGTAGAAAAAAAAAATCAGGGCTTTTCTTATTTTGGACTGCTTTTGTAAACTGTTGCTCGGGTTTAGGGAAGCGAGCGGGCGGGCGGGTCAATCGGTAAATTGGTTGGGTTCAGGGAAGGAGGAGGGAGGCGGGTCAGCCGATTGGCCAGTCGCACAGTCAATCATCCTGTCAGTCGGACAGAGGCCTCTGGTGGGTGCACTCGAGAACAGCACAGGTGCGAACCGCACTCGCGAGAGGCGTTTGAGATGCGAAAAAGCGCACAACAGCAGCCTCTTGCGGATTCGCAACGACAAAAACTGCAGCCGTACATGCCCACCGGGACGTATTCCGCAGTCTCCAGAAACGTCTGCGGGACTACGTTTCCACAATGAGCCCGGGTTGCATATTAGGCCATATAGCAAAATATACAAATATTCTAACGGTACAGCAGTAAAAATATAAATTAATTAATTTTAAAAATAATTTTAAAAAGAAGGAAGAAAGAAAATAAACATGAATATATAAACATGTATATTTTGTCTGTGCTCTCCATTTTTAACAGGAAAATGAGAGAGGAAGGGTTGCCAAATATAGTACATTTTTTTCTAATACTGCAATCTGTATACCTAATCTTTTCTATTTGAATAGACTGCATCAGATCATGCATCCAATGCACATAACTGGGCGGAGAAGGATTTTTCCACTTCAGTGTTAAATGCCTTTTAGCAATTATTAAACAGATAGCAAGTGCATTTGACTGTGAAGATGACAAGAAAACATTTATAGGGTTACGTCTAAATAATGCTACTAGGGTGCGTGGTTTGATATCTAAAAGAAAACATTTAGAAATTGATTTAAAAATTGATGCCCAAAAAGTGCTTAGTGCTGAAAAAAGCCAGAAAGTATGTCAGAAAGAGTGGCTGGAGCTTGTTGACACCCATTACAAGTTGGATCAAAACCAGGCTGACCTTCATATTTTAAACAAACATTTGGAAATCTATTGTATTTAATTAAATTTGTCTTCTGGAAAACACAAGTTCTCTAAGCTAAAAGGAAAAACAGAAAATAGCATGTTTCCTCTACTAGATTTAGTAGATTCAGTCTAATTATTATGTTTTTAAATCCTATCCACACATCTTTACTCTAATTCATTTCTGACTTCAATTCCTTACATTTAAATATACATACAAAAAGAAATAAAACTCTTCAAGTAGACTACTCCCACTGACATCATGAAGTAATGTGGACTATCAGTTCTGTTCAGATACCATGATATTTGCCGCCCTCAAGTGGTTGAGAAAGAGAATACAACCAATAAGAAAGTATTAGCGACGCAGCCTTATACTGCAGAAGTACGGAATTAAACATTTATATAAGTGCTTGAACAAGTATTAAAACAAGTAGATTTACATTTATAATATGATTTAATATTTATTTTATCTTTATTTAAGGATTTACTATAAGAATTGTCAGGTATTATGTATGCAATATGTAGTTCAGCAAATTTTAAAACAAAACAAATCGATCTCAAGGACATTCTATTTGATGTCATAATTAGAACGTCAAAGTGGAATGTTAAGGCTTGACGGTGTAATTTAGTTTTAGTGGGTAGTTTGGAGTGAGACAGTGCGTTTGTTTTATCATGGGTCAGCGAATTTCTTGCCTGAATATAGCGACAGAGTCGGAGTGTGTGTACAGTTTACATCCTAGTACACCACTTCAGTTAAATAATGACACGCCTCGTCAAGAAAACCATCAGCTTGATGAGAGCCGTGTTGTTCCTTGTGAGGAAGATGGAGGGAGTTTGGTAAAGGAGAAAAAGAAAGTGAAGAAAAATTCGAGTTTTTGGAGAAAGCTGTTCCGCTTTTCACGCCCAAGAACTGGAAGGGGTGAAAAGGTGAAGCAGGTGGACAGTGAGAAGGTGAAGCCAGTCACCGAAGCAGAACCTTCTACTGATGGTAAATCCCTTTATTTTTTCTGTGACTGGAAAAAAAAGAATAAAAATGATCACCATAGCTTTAAAATATTGTCTCTGCAAATATATGTATTTGTAAAAGGATTGAAACGTTTCTGTGTGTTTTTATTAAAGTAAATGTTGAATGTATGTTCCCCTCTTTACATCAAACCTCAGTAGGAAACATCTCAAGCCCTGTTGAGCATCATGACTCCCAACAAGCTCCTAACAGCCTTGAGGTTCCTTCCTCCATCATTGACCTGCAAATACAGGAACAGTGTGAGAATGTGGAGCTGGAGGAAGAAACGTCTACTGATGGTAAATCTCTTCATCTTTTGTGTTTCTGAACTTAATCATTAAAGAAGATCATCATAGCTTTAAACATTTGCAGAGTTCAAATGTTCAGATGTGCAGATGTTTGTGTATCTGAACTCTTCAGTTTTGTCTTTGTAAATACTATAAATGTATTATTTGTAGCAGTATTGAAATGTTTGTGTGTTTATATATAATTGTTATATTTTCCAGATCCAACTTCAGTGGAGACCATATCTTCTGTAGAGAGTTATGGTCCTCAGAACACTCCCAACAGTAGTTTTGAGATTCCTCTCTTCACTGTTGACGAACAAATCCAGGAGTTTCCAGATGATCTGTCAGAGGAAGAAACTGTGTGTCCTCTGGCAGAAAACCCAAGCCAAGACATGGTCTTGATTATTGGGAGTAAGTTCATATTAATTATGGCTGCTTGATGCTTTCACTTTTTGAAAGGATTAGATGTTTGTGCATTATGTATTAGTGACGTAATGGTGTATAAAGTGGTAATAAAGTTTTACTTTTGCATTGTAGAATATGAATCTGTCTCTAAAACTAATTATATTTGAACAGGCATGTGCTGGACCTACAACATGGGTGAGCTACTGGGAGAAGGAGGATTTGGTGCCGTATATGCTGGTGTCCGTGCCCATGATGGTCTTCCGGTATATTTATATATATTTTTGCATAATCAACCTAACAAACTATATTTATGTGTTATGCTTTGTCGTTTGTAACACAATTAGAGCGCTTGATAAATGGTCAACCTGACCAAACATGCTACAAATTCATGACTAGAATTTCAACAAGGATTAAAGAATGGTCTGATGTAATCCAGTGCTAACTGTTATATTCTGTTTTGTTGATCAGGTGGCAATCAAGTTTGCCAGAAAAATGGAGGGCATGGAATATCTCTACGTTGTAAGTAGACTCATCTCCTCTAACTCTGTTTTTATTTTTTTTTTTCAACAGTGTTAATCATAGACAGCAAACTATCTCTCAATAAACAAATTATTAACATGTTGTGCAAACCACCTTAATTTAACCATCCTAAAAACTCTTTCCACTAGCCTGGCCTTCCAGAACTTGTACCGCTTGAAATCGGCCTCACACTTATGGCAAACAAGGGTCCCAGCTCACCCAACATAATCGATCTGCTGGATTGGCAGGACTTTCCAGACCATTATATAATGGTCCTGCAGCGCCCTTCACCATGCCTGAGTGTGTTCAAGCTTTTGGAGAGCTGTGGCAACATCTTTGAAGAAAGGTTTGCTCGGTATGTGATGCGCCAGGTTATCGAGGCAGCTGAGACCTGCTGCCGGCGCGGAGTATTCCACAGAGATATAAAATTGGAGAACTTGATAGTCAACACACACACCATGGATGTCACACTGATTGACTTCGGCTGTGGGAACCTGTTCCACGAAACAGAGTACCACACTTTTAGTGGTATGTACAGTATTAAAACTTTAGTGTCATGACACACAAGCTGCTGAATACAGTAAAAACAAACTGTTGTAACTCAGACATGCAAATCTCTTTCCTCCAGGCACAGAGATGTACTGCCCTCCGGAGTTTTTCGAAACGGGCAAATACTTAGCACGGCCAGCAACTGTGTATTCGCTTGGAGTGCTGCTATACACTATGGTGTGCGGATATATGCCAGACTACACGGATCGGGAAAAGATGCAGCACTGGCTGTGGTATCTGCCGTCCTTGTCCTGTGGTAAGAACTTGAAAAAATTGTAACAATCAAACAAAAAAGTGTCTGACAAAGCCACTTGGCTCAGCTGTCCAAAATGCCATCAGGAGATGTAAAGGATGTTTAAAGTAATAGTCAAACATTAATCCTGTCTTTCAGAATGCAGTCATCTCATAAATGCCTGTCTGCATCCCGATCCCAGCGAGAGGATACAACTGGAGCAGATTCTCCTCCACGACTGGTTTACGGTACCTATGATCTACAAGAACTTTTCAAAATGTCAGTTATTTTGGGGACAATAAACCTGATTGTGTTTTTGTTTTTGCTTTAGATCACAGCATCAGACATGGAGGATGAGCGCCCGGTCCTGGTCATGCAGGAAGAGCTGATTAGCCAGGCATGCTAACACCAGTGGCCTCACCACCTCTCCAGTCCTTTGCTTCTTGCTAATGTCTGGTGTCAGAGCTTGAGGCAGCAATATTTGCGTCTTGCGGTGTCGCTGCCAAAAATGTATTGTTGAATTGAAATAAAATTGTGTCAATTGAACTGTTGTGTTTGTCATGTTTTTGTCCATTTATTTGCTGAATTAGAATTGGAGTTTGCATTAAGCCTAGTAAGACCATGATTAACTAGTACAGGTGTATTTTATTATGAAAGAAGCTAAAAAAAGAATATTGTGGTCCTCCAGGAGCTGGATTGGACATAGTAAGTAGTAAGGAATGTGTATTTATATTGCACATTTATTGTGTATGACCATACACCCAAAGAGCTTCACAATCATGAGGGGGGTCTCTCCTGACCTCCACCAGTGTGCAGCATACACTTGGATGATGCGATGGCAGCCACAGGACAATGGTGCTAGTGCGCTCACCACTAGGGTTGGGTATCGTTTGGATTTTTTTCGATACCAGGGCCAAATCGATACTTTTAAAACGATTCCGGTGCCAAAACGGTGCCTGAATTGATACTTTTTAGCCACAAAATGATGGTGGATGACTTTACAAAAATATTTTATTTGACAAAATATTTTTAAAAATCATTTTAATAGAACAATATAATTACAGTTTAAAGTAAACATAAATTCATTTTGTATTACATTAATACATTTCCTTTGATCATTTGTTGGTTAGCATGAATTTAAGATTTGCATTATGAAATTACATTAGCTTACTATTAACCTGTGGGGGGCGGGCAGTGGCCACATACTTTTAGGAGCACATTTTAACATATATATCACAAAATACTTAAAACATTATTCGAAGTCATTTGTTTTCATGCATCACTCTGCAGTCTTCATAAACAAGATAATTAAATAACTTAAACTCAAAATAATCTTCCTTGTTTATTTATTTGACAAGTAACATTATACCGGTGTAGGAGAACACATTTCTAACATTCAAGTAAATCATGGCACATTGCTGCACCTGTAAACTCTAACAGGCCTACAGCTGAAGTCAATTTATTTTGCCCTCCTATTCATTTACAATAATGTTTCTGAAAATTTTTACAGTGTTTCCTAAAAAAAATAATTATTCTGGTGTCATAATAAGTTTGCATTGATAATGACCAAAACACATTGAATGACAGTAAAAAGAGGCAATTTTACCCAATAAATGCGTTAATAATATCAACTGATTTATATATAGTCAATCAAATGAACATAAATGATTAAAAACTGCAACAAACATTTATTTAGGCCCGAACTACAAAACCAAATGTAAAACAATTTTAATATCAGTTTTGCTTAAGTTGCACGCTAGTGTTGTAAGAGAGGGGAGTGGTCGCTTTAAAACTTGCTATTTAAGGGAGTTGCACCATGAACCTGACAACACGAAAATAAGTAAAAGAAGGGCATGCATTGATTACTTTTGTTTGTCTCATCCTTTGCACGAGCTGTTACTCTGCCGCTGGACATTACTGAAGCGGAGAGAGTAACACTAGTTTGATCATGTATAAATATCATTCTAACTATATTATATAAATATTATTATAACAGTGAAATAGAGATAGATTGATCTCTGCAGCAGCTGCCGAAGAGCTGCACGCTGCAGACGCAGCTGGTGTGAAAGGCAAACGCCTGCATGCTGCTTCTGATCTCCATACGCGCTGCTCACGCACTGCTTCCGCTTGCGGTCTAAAACAGGCGTTGCACACAACTTTTGTAAAGACAGTTGCTGTGTAAGAATCCTTGCTTGTAAAATACGCTTTAGAATGCTTAGTTTAAGCAAATTGGACGAACGTGATCACGAGTGTAGATTTGATCAGTGTCGCTCTCGCTTACCGAAAACCAGGCTAAATGCGCTGTACTACGTTGCGTGCGTCTATTCCCTAGCGACAATAACAAACGCCTGATGTCGCCTGTTCCTCAAAGTTGTTCAGAATTAAATGTTTAGTGATGTTGTGACACAACGCTTATGTGGGCCTTTTTCCATGCACCCCTTTGATGCTTCTTACGTTTTCGCCGCAGCACTGAATAGGCACCGATTAGCACCGAAATTCATACGCTTATTTAATACCGGTACATACCGGTTACCAAGGTAACGGTGCTATAATGGCACTGGGTTTCGGTACCCAACCCTACTCACAACACACCAGCTATTGGTGGAGTGGAGAGACAGTGATAGAGCCAATTCGATAGATGCGGATGATTGGGAGGCCATGATAGGTAAGGTACGATGCAGGGAATTTGGCCAGGACACAGTGGTTACACCCCTACTCTTTACAAGAAGTGTCATGGGATTTTTAATAACCACTGAGAGTCAAGACCTCGGTTTAACGTTTCATGCGAAAGACAACGCTTACTGACAGTATAGTGTCCCCAGGCCCGGCGCCAGCATATCAGAACTGAGGGGGCATTTTAAATCCATAGGGGGGCACTAGACCTGGTGGCTGATTTTGGTCTCTCTTGTTCCTTTCATTTAGGCTATTTATTTACATTTATTATTACTTTACTTTGTTACTGACCTAAGGCAGTAATATACGTTTTAATAGTAATAATAACAGTTTCGATATTACTGATTTTATTAATGACGGTAATGCAACAATACCGCTTAATAATGCAGACGGATCATGGCTTTAGTGCCAAACGAGTGCTTTAAATCTTATGTTATTCTCCTTATTTATTTCCATTTTATTTCAAATAACAGGCATATGAATGTTTAAAGTTTTAGGTAAAGACATCAAATTATGCTACACATGCAAGCTGACCCACAATCAGACTATTCGTATATCCGGTAAATAAATATAGTGAAATCAGCTTAACCGAGTCATCATGCTTCACATAGCCTATTACCCAACCAACATCAGTGTTAGGGAAAAGCTAAATGTTACAATCTAATGTCATTTAAAACAATTACTTAGTTACATTTTAAGACATTAATGTAGCCAAATACCTAAAAAAGATATCAAAATTCACAGTTATTACCGTGAAAATTAGTTTGGCACGGATAACATGCAACTCAATAGGCTATATAACTTTTTTCATCATTTTAAATGTAAAAATAAAGATTTATCTTAGGCTATCATAACTGTGTTTTTTCGTGATATTGTCTGGTTGTCATTTGTAAACCATCGTAAACCATTTGGTTACTAAGCCTACCCGTCATGTTATTTATTTATTAAGCCTATTTTAATAACTTATTTTCGGGTTATTTTCATTTTAGGGCCATGAGCTACAAGTCAAAACAAACTCGATATGCTGACTGTATTTTAGCTCTTAAAACAGGTTTACAATATATTATGTTGTTTAATTTTGCATGAGCAAATAGCAGTATAGCGTAAATTACATATTTTTAAAAGATTCTCGTTCAGCCTACCTGCAGCACGTGAGAGGTTTCTCGGTTGATCCGCGGTAAATCCACTTAAGCACTATATACCTATTCCATTTATAACACTGCAAACTTGACTTCGCAGGCCGATCATCTTTAAACGCAAAAGGCATTTATTAAGTGTTATACCTTGACTGCTGCTGCATAATGGGATGTTTTTCTACACAACTGTAAAAGTGCGCTTTTTAGCAATGTCAAAATGAAAGCAAACATTTAAAGGGTT